CGACGAGATAGAAATCCAGACGGGGCTCAAGCCTGTTGATATACGTCCTTCGCGACAATTCTCGGACAACCCCTTGACCAAGACCCTGCTTGTGTCCTTTCTGAAGCCCACAAAGAGATTCTGGTCGCTCTTTGGCAGCAGCGCGGCGAGACTGATTGACAAAACCGACCGACCTAGACAGTGTGAAACGTGCTGGGGCTACCACTTTGCTCGCAACTGCCATAGACAGCTAGTTTGCCAACGCTGTGGTAAGACTGGCCATATTATAAACAACTGCACTGCACCAGAGCAGTGCATCAACTGTTTAGGCCCTCACCAGGCCAGCTTTCTTAGGTGCCCAGCTCGGCCAAAGAGAGTGCACGGCGTCCTCCGCCGACTCACTAAAGAGCAACGAGAACATGTCCGGACAGTGGGCGCAGAGACATACCGACAACGACACCTAGCACAACAACCAGAGTCGCATCTGGAAGCCCAACAAAGCGACGACATCGCATCGCACGAACAGCCGAGCATTCGTGGTCCAAGTCCAGCGGCATCAGGAGCACCCTCGTGCATCATGGTGGCCACAAGCCCTCAGGCGGGCTACGAAGCGGAGGAGGAGCCCGAGCATCCCCGACCAGGCTCACCGCGAAAACGGCGCATAGTTCTTATCACTCGTCCTCTTGACCAGGAATAGATACTCGCAGACACGAAAGAACGACAAGAAGCCGCTCAGGATCTTTCAGGCTAACGTCGGCAAGATCCCCCCGGCCCACGACTGCGCCCTGGCGCTGGCCGACTCGGAGCGATACGACATCGTCCTTCTACAGGAGCCGTGGACTTCTCACACAGACACTCGATCCCTGACCAAAACCCACCCTGCATACGATGCATTCACGCCTGTCGAGGTGTGGAACAGCAACGACACCCGGCCTCGAGTCATGGCGTACGTCCGACGAGATCCAAGGCTCTTGGCTGATCAGATCCGGCCTTTTCAGACCCGGGACATACTCTGGCTTACGGTCAATGGCATGACGGTAGTCAACTTCTATCGCCAGAATGACGAGAGGGACGCCCTGAACACGCTGCTTCGGTGGCCTGTCCCGGAACGTTGCCTTGTTGCCGGCGACTTTAATGCCAGACATCGTAGCTGGCAGATAGGTCATGCCACCAACCGCGGCCGAGACATCGCAGACTGGGCATCAGATAATGATCTCAACCTACTCAACACCCCAGATATTCCAACAAACCCATACGGCAACACGATCGATCTTGCCTTTACCAATATGCCACTGGCCGAAGCCACCGTCGAGGACCATCTCGCCACTAGCTCTGACCATTTCACACTCAGCCTGACCCTACCCGACGCCAGGCCAGCCCCAAATCAACCGGGCCGGATCCGGGTGACGACAGAGGATGAACTTAAACGGTTCGCTGAGCTTGTTGAGCTAGGAGCCGCTGGGCTTCCTACGGCCGACTTAACTGCACCCGAGCTGGACGAGCTTGCCACTGCAATCGTGAATCTCCTGACATCGGCAGCGAAGGCAGCCGGCCGACCCACGCGGAAGGGTGGACGCCCAGCTCCTTGGTGGACGGAGGAGTGCGCCGGCGCCGCGGCTGCCTTCCGCGCCATCAGACGACTCTACCCTCTCGGCTTCAACCAGGATGTTCAAATCGCCAAGAGAGACTTTCATCGCGTGGTCCGTCGTGCTAAGAGACAGTACTGGCGGAACCTCATCGATAGCTTCTCCAATAGCAGCGCTGTTTTCAAAGCTGTTCGCTGGTTAAAATCTCCTGGAGCTTTCCAGCCGCCACCCTTACAGGTTGGCGACATCGTGTACGAAACCCAGATGGACAAGGCCAACGCACTCCGACAGGCTACGTTAGAACGACGGACTGCAGATGACGACATCGACAACCCTTGGGCATCAATCTCTCCCTCTAGATCGATTCCATTTCCGCACGAAATCTCACTAGACGAGGCGCAGTATGCGACCATCCACACAGGCAATACATCTCCAGGGTCAGACAACATCACCGTCGATCTCCTGAAAGCCGTATGGCACATAATCGGGACACACGTTCGTCGCTTGTTCGAAAGATGCCTCTCTATAGGCCACCACCCGAAACCGTTCAAAGAGGCAGAAGTGGTCATGATCGCCAAGCCCGGACGCCGTGACCTCACGTCGCCACGAGCTTGGCGACCTGTCTCTCTGCTCTCGTGCCTCGGTAAGGGACTAGAACGGTTGATCGCGCGCCGCCTAGCGTGGGCATCTGTACACTACAGCATTCTCCACCCGCAGCAGGCCGGAGCGCTCCCCAAGAGGTCGGCAACAGACTTGGTAGCCGCCCTGATCCACGATATCGAAGAAGCGTTTGCACGCAAGAAAGTGGTCACCCTGGTCACAATGGATATCGAAGGTGCTTTCGACACAGTAATGCGCAACAGGCTTGTTCTTCGTCTCCGCGAACAAGGCTGGCCCGACCATCTGGCTAGATGGGCCGAGTCCTTCATGGGGGACCGATCGGCTCGCGTCAGGTATCAAGACACCACCACCCCCTTTTCTCCTCTCCAGTGCGGCCTTCCTCAAGGTTCACCGGTATCGCCAATCCTCTTTCTACTCTATACTGAGCCAATCTACCAACTGGGCAACCCCCAGGGTCGCTTCGGCTATGCAGACGACACGGCCATCCTGTCCATAGGCGACACAGTGGACGAAACCACTGCCATGGCATCCAATTCTATCAACGAGATGGTGCGTTGGGGCGCAGCGAACGGTGTGTCCTTCGACCCAAAGAAGACCGAAGTCATGCACTTCTCTCGCGGCAAATTCAAGATTGCACCGGCAGTACGTCATGGCGAGGTCGAGAAACATCCCGAGCCAGCTCTACGCTGGCTTGGCATCTGGCTTGACAGCAGGCTATCGTTCCGAGTCCATGTAGAGAAGTGGGCGGCGAAGGCAAAGGCCGTCGCTTACCACCTGCGAGGACTGACCAATATAATACACGGCCCTCTGCCGAGCGCCGTGCGGAGTGCCGTCAGAGCATGTGTCGAGCCGGTGCTGCTCCACGGCTCCGAGGCGTGGTACCCGGGCACATCCAGGCCACGGTGGAACCAGCCTACGAAAGACATACCATCAAGCAACCAGCATCTTATACAGAGAATGACCAAAGCCATGAACCAGGCCATGAGAGCTATACTCCCCGTCTGGAAGACGACACCTATCACTATCCTCCACCGAGAAAGCGGGATACCGCCAGTCGACCAACTACTTGAAGCACGGCGTCTTAGGTTCTCCGCGCGACTCAAGTCGCTTGATGAGGCTCACCCTCTAGCGAGCCGGACGCGCCCACCTAGCCAATGTACTTACCATGACCTCATCAAACGAAAATATCAAGTACAGATAGAAAGCGGTTTCAGGACACGTCTTTGACGCACGGACGAACTCCTCGCACCCTGTACGCGACCGAAGCTCGTTCGGCGATGCTTCCAACAAGAACAAATGCTACCGCTACAGGCAGCATCAAAGGAGAAAACAGCTAGCGCTTTTCTCCGCTGGGTTCAGTCACTCGACCCGCTCACCTTGGTTGTATACTCGGATGGCTCTTTGTCCTCGGAAGGGGCTGCCAGCTACGGCTTCACCATTTATCAGGACAATATCCCCATCTTTGACGGATCAGGTCGCCTTGGGCCTGCCGAGGTCTTCGACGCTGAAGTCACAGGAGCATTAGAGGGCTTAAAAGCCGCCCTGAACCTGCAAGAATCAGCGTCCCAAAACATATTCATCTGCCTAGACAACCTCGCGGCCGCCACATGCCTGCGAGGCACACCGTCCGACTCCTCTCAAGGCATCTTTCTCGACTTTCAGGCTCTGGCGGCATCGCATGGAGCCACACAGGTACGCTGGGTGCCAGGACACACCGATATCCCTGGCAACGAACGAGCCGATAAACTGGCCAAAGCAGCATCGTTGCTCCCTGAGCCCGAAGGGACTCGACCAACGCTGGCTTATCTGCGAAAAATCGCGAGACAGAATCCGAAAGAGACATTCGAGGCGTGGTGGTCCGCCTCCGCTCCTGAACAATACAAGAGACTCAATCTCAAGGCGACCACAGGCTGTCCGCCGGAGCTCTCGCTCCCGCGAGCAGCCTTGCACCATCTGCTGGCAGCGAGGTCCCTTCACGGAGACTTCGCCGCGTATCACGAAAGATTCGACCACGACGATGCACGCCTGGTCTGCTCATGTGGCCGACGCAAAGCACCGGATCACATCTTCTACTGCAGGAAGGTACCGCCGCGTCACCGGATGAGGCTTGCACCCTCACCGAATGCAGCGGTCAATCTAGCAATAGGAAAAGACTTTACCAAATTCATCGACCTGTCCAAGGACAGCGCGATCTTTGGAAAGATTTGCCCTCGCTATTAGGCGACCACGACCTGAGAAGCACTCGCGACTCTCCTTCCCTCTCTATCTTCCACACATTTCTAGAACGGTTAAAGGAATGCACACGTCTCCCCTAAAGCATTTTCGAGGCGATGAAAGCAGGCTGGTGTAGGAAAAGAATTGATGAAGCTTCAGGAAGGCTGGGTGACGAGGAAAGTATTTTGAGACATTTTACATTAGTGCCATGCGACCATACCGCGAATGCTATCGAAAAATCAGTTTGATAATATCAAACCTGATGAGATTCTCAATCTAAAAGACATTGTTCCAGGTCAACAAGTCCAGTTTTGGGTACGCATCGTATAAGGGAAAATAAGCATTTTGTATGGGGGGTTTTTTTTTTTTTGCTGTACGGTTGGCGGGTACGTACGGCAGGTGGGTATTGCATGGTAAGAGAAGATGGATGAGGTGGAGCAGGCCTTCGAAATAGATTGCCGAGAAGAATAACGAGTCCAAGTAGAATAACCGAAGAAAGCAGGTAGTACAGAAAATGAACTAAAGCAAATTCAATAGCTAGCATCGGTATCATGGTGTTTTCTAAACATCCGTTTCGTGGTAGCTTGCAAGAGGGTCATATCAATACCCCGACAAACCAAAGTGAGATCGCATCCTTGGATTTTCTACCTTTTCCAGCACAATCCGGTCGATGGCGCTAGTAAGCGAGTCCCAATCGCAGCGAATTTGGATACCTCGTTCTTCGCCCCCAGGTTTACGGAACCTAACCCACTGTTTTGCGCTCAAGCAGTTCGCGACTAGCAAGCTTTCGACGCTTAGCTTGTCGCGAAGGACACAGAAGATTAGCGGCCAACCTTGAGTCTCATGGATATGCACACCGTTGAAGAGCACGTCTTTTAAGGTGCCCTGATGCCGGCATAGAATCTTAACCAGCGCATCTGCGGTGCAATTCACCCAGTGGAGCTCCAACTCCCGGAGGGCTGTCATCTGCAGAGATCCGGCGATCGCGGTGACTAGGGACAACTTGTTACGGCCACCCATGCGCAGATCGAGAAGCGTCGCGGTCGGGAAAAGCTCGATGAATCGCACAAGACTGCCCGCCCCGCTATCCGAGAGGGTAAAGTACTCCGAACAGACGTTCAAGCGGAGGGTATCCAGGTCGAGGAAACAGGAGCGTATCTGCTGGGCAGCGAGATCCGAGACAAACTCATGTGAGCCAGCGCGGAAATCCTGGAGGTTAAACAGTATGTCAAGCTCCTCTAGCGAGACACGGCTTGCAACCACAGCTGCAAGCACGACTTGTAGTGCATGTCTCGCGAACTCGCCACTCTCAATTGTGTCGGTGTTGGTAGTCGGCCATAAACCCGTTTGTTTGGCCTGTAGCCTTGCGCCCCAAGGACGGTCTTGGCCTGAGAGAATGATCGTCCTGCAGTTTGGCATTGCAGTAAGCGCCAGGGTCAAGTATGCAGTAGCCATTCCACACTCCATTATATATCTCTGATCGTCCTGATAACGACTATACGCGATGGTGTTTACTACTGCCTTCTCCTTCTCGGCGGAAGACTCAAAGTCTGGCACGTGGGAATCTTCAGACCACGGACTGCTCGGCGAAGAGCCCTGGTCTTCTGGGCTTGGCTCATCTATTTCCACTTCATTACCCTCCTCTGGGCGATACTGCATGTCCCGTTCCCAGAGATCAGGGTCCTTTGTGATGTGGGCGATGCTGATGTCGAGCGACTGCACTGTGGGACCGAACGTCGGGTGACGCGCAATATCGATAAGAGCCTCCAGACTGTGGCGCTGCAGAAAGACACAGCGGCGTTCGAAGTATCGCGTGGCGAATTGCGAGGCTGTACTGTTATTAATCAACTGGGACGTTTGCCGAAACCGGAAGAAGGCTTCGTCATCGAGAAGATTAGCAATCGAGCAAAGCATCTCGATTGGGAGATGGGAGATAGTAGGCATTTTGAAGGAGGCAAGGGTACACCATAGTAGATGTCGAGCGTGACGTTCAGTTCAGTTCAGTTCGAATTTACGACTGTAGATGTACCGGCGAGCGGGGTTGTCAGGTGACTCATTAGATTAGATGAGATGAGATGAGATGAGATGAGATAAGATAGGATAAGATAAGATAAGGAGAGGCTTTGGTATGCAGTCATGAAACCGTCGGATTGGATCCTGGGGGTCAGCTTAATCGTACGGCTGGTTATGTGCCACTTCCCTTGAGGGCGAGAATGAAACTTGAGTGCTTTAATCGAATGTATCAAACAGGACCCCTGTGGTTGTCCTCTTTCCCAAAGCGCGAATATCGCAGCCAATCCTCCCGTGGAATCGCTCCCAAGGCGCCAAATGCCTATGCAAAAATTAGTATTAAGAATAAAGGTGGTAGCTGATTGTCGTCTTGATCATTCTGTGCAACGAGAGCTCCTTCTCCGGCGCCCTGATCGAAGTTCTTTCTCCGTCTCCATCAGTTTCCTCTGCGCATGGAATTGTCGCCGCGGATCGTTTCGCAGTTCAGCAGCTCCGTCAGCACGCGCTTGATGCTCTCGTTGACGTCGAATAGTCGCGGCTCTTCGGCGGAGATCTCGTATAGCGCTTTCTCGTCGACAATGGTGTCGAGGGTATCGGCGTCGCGGTGGGATTCGCTCCAGCCGCTGCATGGCGCCTTCGCTCTCGATGGTTGCCGTTCGCTGCTTCGTGAATGCAGCTTCGGCGATGACGACTTGTACGACGACGGCTGGAGGAACGAGGCGAGATACTACTCGTAGACTGCTTGCGGGGGCGGATCTGCTGAAGGTGTTTGGAGAGCTCCGCATGCTGCTCCTGGAGAAGCATGTACTTTTCCAGGGCAAATTTGTAGTTGTGCGCCTTGGTCGCGGAGGCCATCTTGACTGGTTGAGATGGAAGGGTACGTTATGGAGAGATGAACGGTATAGGATCGAGGTATAGATGTCGGCTGCAATAGCAAGACTATCTGATGGGTTTGCTGGTGTCCTTTATACGTGAAAGGCGACGCACGGTGAGTTGTGTTGCAGATGGCTGCACCCCCAATGCACTGAGGCAGTCATTTAATCGCCGTTCCAAGGTACGGAATCGCCGCAGATTTGCTTCGTTGTGATGAGGCGCCGCCGGCGCGACCACTGACAGAACAGCAGGTGTTGTCCACAAGCAGCGCTTTCAGCGGGCGATGATAATCAAGGTTTTCGTCTGGACGCTCCGACTTTGTGAACGAGTAGTGTCGTCGGGTCGGTCGGGGAAAGATTTCCTGTCGCGGCGAAACGGGGAGACCCCAGCTCGATTGATGACGGTAGGGATGATGAATAACTGGGTTGAAATGCGGCGCAAAGAGCCCAAGGTGGAAGGGAGAGCTGGGATTAATGAGAGAGCCCTGGGGAAAGAAACCGCTGCTGGCCCCATTGGAGCAACTGCTCAATGTTGAGCCAAAATAAGGTTCGGCATGCTCGTAACAGCGTATAGTGGGGCACAAGTGGCTTCTGGTGGCGACTCTGGCAACCAGCCAGCCAATTAGATGGTGCTGCCACAGGTTGGGGCGGCGGCGGCACATTGACGAAAGCTGGTGGCGCAGCATAAGGTCGTCGCTCCCAAGTACATTTCTCCCATGACACGTCCTGGGCTAGCCATATCAAGAATAATTTCCTGCCTGGCTAGATTTCATTACCTATTAGTGTCAGACACTCGTTCGGCATCTAGAGCGGATTAAAAAATACTCCAGCGGGCGTAGTTGTGATCATGCTTGAATACCAAGTGTATTAATCCTCTTGTTTTCCAAGGCTGGGTAGTAAAAATTGCAGCCAGATTGAAATCTTTTTTTTTTTTTTTTTTAATTCACTCCTAGCGTCCTCGGACCAAATGGCATCTCAGAGTTCTTCCTTTCTATTCCAGCTTTTACATTCTAGAGAATACAGCGACTTTACCCTAGTCTGCCAGGAGCAGCAGTTTTATCTCCACAAAGCCATTGTTTGCCCGCAGTCCCCAGTTATTACTGCTGCCTTGCAAGGAGAATTTCAGGTACTTTACCACGGAAGGCGCATCAAGAACGCGCATGGTGAGCTTACGCAGAGTGCAGGAGGCTAGAACGAAGGTCCTGAATGTGGAAGCATTCGACGTCGCCACCGTTCGGCGCATGGTCAACTTTATGTACACCGAGGAATATGAAGTCGGCTATGTCCACGAGGCGAGCGGCTCCGCTACGGGTCACGAAACTGAGAGGACGGAGGTGACCGAAGCATTACTCTGTCACGTCCGCGTGAACGCGATCGCCGATTACTACAACGTCTCAAAGCTGACCCAGCTGGCGAACTCCAAGATACAATCCATCCTCCGAGACAGTTGGTTAGCAGAGTCATTCTCTCATGTCGTCAAGGAAGCTTCGGTTTCAACAGGGGATGTTGCCTTGCACGATATTATCACCTCGACTGCTGCATACCACATTGAAGAGCTTGTTGAGTTCCAGAGCTTTGCCGACTTGGAAGTTATGAGCGAATTTGCCATCAAAGTCCTGCGCAGCTGTGCGCGACGGATACGCGATATCGAATCCCAACTTCAGTATATCCAGTCAGTATGCAAGAAGGAGGCTGTCAGAGCCGATCGTGTTATCGGCAACATTGACAATTGCTTGCGAACTCTGTCGGCGTGTAGTAACGATTTAGTAGTGATCCAAGGGGAGCTCTCATGAGCCAGCAGTGGTCTGGACGTGTTGTGGTCTTGGAACGGTTGTGGTTCTGGGTCGGGGTAAGCGCTAAAGTAAGGCTGTTAGGTATCATTTGATTTCAACTGCATCTGGCGCAGCGACGAGCTCTACTGTCCCATGGTACCACGAAGTGGGCAAGCTGAGGGCTGATCAATCCAGCTTCGGCGACGACAGCATTGCCGCCTACAAAGCCATGGGCGTCAAGAACGACTCTGAGTTTCCGTCCGTCGACGAGGTACAGACCCGCTGGGACGGGCTATTGCCATGGTCGACTTCAAGGGGTTGCACCGGATCCTCTACGACCTGAGCGTGGGCTTTGCTGAGGCAGACAAGGCGTTGGGCGCCGTGGTGCAGGCAGTCGTCAACATAGGGGACGAGTACGTGCTGGGGGAGATGAGCAGCCTGGCCTTTGGGGCCCAGGCCAGTGTACGGGCGTGGCGCTCAAGGATGGCAGGACACTGTAGGCGGACAAGATACCACGTATCTTATTCCCCAGATGCAAGAGCTCAAAAGTTTTCGGTCGACTCTAAGGAACCCCACGCCGCAGCTGCGGAATTGTTGATTGTATGCGAATGACTTGCGAAATGAGGCATATGGTGTGAGTGGATGATTCGTGTTACAGGATGCCCGGCCCCTCACGCTTGTTCGGCATTCGGCGCAGAGACGTCTCTTTCGGTCGGACCGGCTCTGGCTTCGCTCAGGGCCTCATCCGCCGAGGTCGACCTCAAAATTCCGCAGTTGCGGATGAACTATGAGCCCAAGATTGGAATTCATCAAGACTCCGTTCTGGTCTCGAGTATCGCAAGTCAACACAGAGGGTCTCGAGATTCTCCAGGTCGTACCAGTCGAGATGCTGGCTGCTGGTCACCAGGGCGCAATCGTCGTCCCCTCGAGCCAGAACCGTTGATGAGATCCTTACCTCGCTGGGAAATCTGATAAATGGCATGTTTGGTGGGTTGGAACACGTTGCAGCCCGGGTTCTGGGGACATGTAGGCTCGGTTTTGAGCGACGGGCTCCGTCAGATCGTGCTAGACAAAGAGGGTGGCGATCTCGACGGTTTCTCGCTTGTCAACAATCATACAGCAGTCCATCAACCAGTCGGCGGTGGCCTTGCCAGTAAAGGTATCTCGATACATGTTGCCGTTGACCTTGCGCTCGGCTGCCATCGTGACACCGATGAGATCATTCTTGTAATCATGCAACGAATCCGAATCAGCTGCATTGACGGTCGCCTTAGTGTTCCGGCCGTCAGCACCCACGAACCGGCGGAAAATGACTTCGAGGGTGCCCTGGTCATGGGGAAGCATATCGCTCTGGGAGTCCCTGTCCAGCAGGACGAGCTTGGTTGCGCCCAGGTTGACCAGTTTCGACTTCTGCTTCTGCTGAATACCATTCCTCGAGCAAAACCTGTCCAGCACGGTGATTCCCTTAGGCGTCAGCTGCCAGACCGATCCCTTCATGTTTACACCTGCTGGTACTTGCCGTCGGCCGATTCAACGAAACGGGCATCGACGAAGCGTTGGCAGATGGGTCGGGCCATGTCCTTGGCCATGGAGAAGGTGGTGGTTGTCGCGGTGGTGACGATGCAGGAGGGATCTTCGGGATCTGGCATGCGATTCGACTGGGAGAACTTGAGAGATCCGAGGTTGTTGATGGCATCCTCGGAGATGAACGTGTACTCGGCATGGGCCAGTCGGACGTGGTGGGCCGACAGCGGCAAGAGACTGACGACGAGGGTAGAGAGGAGATCCTTGAAGTCCTATTGTACAACAAAAGTCAGCCAATGCTCTGGCGAAAAAGGGGTTAGGGAGGCGGCGTTTCAAAAGGGTGGTTGCCGCATGCCTCGCGCGAACGCTGCACATCGGCGCAAGAAAAACGGCCAGGCGGTGAAAGTGGTAGAACCGTCGCACATACCCTCGTGAACGGCCGGTCGTCATCCGTCATGCGCAGCAAGCGCGAGGATGTTTAGTGCATCTTGTTTGCCGTGACGGGAGACTTGATGGGAGGTGGCTGGTTGGGGTCTGTGGCTATGTAAGGCTGGGACGGCGAGTTGTTCGTCACAGCAGCTTGGGTAGCGACGGCGCTGGCCAGGTTGATGTTGGACAAACAGGGACTGGCTCGAGGCACTCCTGGGCCGGCGGGTTCTTGTCCGGGCTGGAGACCTCTGAGGCGGGCGTCGAGCGCGGAGGAGGGAGTCTCGAAAGGGTACCGTTGGAGTGTCTTGGGGGGGGATCGCGAGATCCAAAATGGTGGCGATGGCGCTCTGAGTCCTGTCCGGGCCGGCCACGACCAGGGCGAGGATGCCGCTCGACGAACGTTGGTTGAGTTTCGAGACGGAGCCGGTATGGCGGTTGACGTAAACGTGGGCTTGAGCAGGACGAGCCGGGGAGGCAACAGCAATAGCAGCAGCAGTGACAACGCCTGGATGGGACTGTTCCAAGAGTGAGGAGCGGAAGTGAGTGGAAGGCTGCTCGAGGGTATTAGAGGGAGGCAGTCTGGTGAACCGTCGACTGAGGAGGATGCGACAGAGTGGCCATCTAACGGGAACGAGAAAGGTCAGGGGCTAGAATTTCGATGACGGCTGCGGGACAAGCCAGTGGAAGCGGGACGGACACAAAGAGATAGGTAAAGGTTGGACAAAGGCCGCCTCAAGACGGGGCCTGAAGATGGGCGCCCCCTCACTTTAGGAGGGTGATACAGGAAACACCATGTTGGTGGACTGCCACCAGCCGTTTCTGGTAGGTCTCGTGCTTCCTTCGTCCACTAGACATAGCCTCAGGGGTCCTGGCTGGCTTGGGGTGGATCAACAGGCGGTTCAGATCTTCGACCCCGTGTGCTGGCTCCTTTGGATCAACGACGCTGGTCGCGGCGTACAGTGGGAGGCAAAAAGTATTCGCAGGTGTGTAAGTCGCGTTGATAGGCCTTAGCTTCTCTAGTTAGTAGCTTAGCTTAACTTACGTACTTCATACTAGGTTATCCCGCTGATTTTGGTGTAATATAAGGTATTGAGGACCTGACAAGCTACCCCTGACTAGCTTCCGAGCATCAGACCTACCTGCACACCTGCGAATACTTTTTGCCCCCCCACTGTACAGATTAGTTCCCCGTAGAAAGCCCTGAAGCACTCCTTGAGCCGCCAAATTGAACGCGCCGACTGCCACAAGCCCAACCAATCGCACAACGACGGCACAGGCACCTAAGACCCCTGATTGGCTTGCTGCAGGCATCGTTGTGGAGGTCTGTTCTTTTTGTACCTACACCAAGCGAGAGAGGCAATCTCCCAGACTCACATATAGACGATGCATAATGATGAGGGTCATCATGTCGGCGCTCGTCCTCTTCGCCTACTCGGCAATGCCGTCACTGCTCGCGAATTCTACCATCAGAATGACACCCGCTCCATGCCGCGGGACGTTGGTTAATTCGCGTTGCCTTTTGCCTGAGCTAAAATTGCAGTGTTCTTAAGTTGGGCCCGCGCCGAAAGCTACGTCGCGACTTGATAGATATTCAGACTTGTCCTCCTCGTTCTGTGAGAGAATCAACACACGACCAGGCTATCATCGATCGACCGCTTCTCCATTGAAGATGAGCTGCCCCTGTGCGAATTACTATGTGAGCTTCCATACCTGGCTCGAGGTCCAGAGTATTAATCGCGAAGAGGGCTCTATCAAGTGTCCCAACAGGGTTCAGATTTTCGGCGGCTACTGCGATATCTGTCTGGTGTGCCTTTCTCAAGCGCAATTGAGTCGTTTCCATGCTGACCCCGAATGTGTACTAGATCGCATGCACTGGAATACCCATGAAGAATTTGTTACCATATGCCTCGTCTCCATTCAGCGATGTCAAAGCCATGAACGGGACGGTCTGGGGGAATAAGGCGGCGGCTAATACCTCTGGTGGAAGGACAACTATGCTACTCCTCGATCCGTCTAGAAACTCTTCTTACACATCCGGATGAATCAGGATTATGAGAGGAAAATGACGATAGTTCATGTTTTTCTCCGGGATTATTTCTATTAGTGGAAGCCGCATTGAACGTGGAAGTAGCGGGAAGTTCCGTGAGAGCTCCATTCTAAGCTCGCGTAGGTGTAATGCAGTCATGATATTCTTATCTGAACATTGGCCAAGGCGAACGACCTTGCCGCTGTGCTGCTGAAAATTTTATAGCCAGTCATATTGCGGCTATGAGTCTTAGGGATGACGCATTCTGACGGTTCTACCAGCATTAACAAACGTTATCGCTGGAACCTGCCTCTTTCTGGGTCTCTGTCTTTTATCTCTTATTGCAACTGCCCAACAACCTCGCTCATCGCCGACCTACGACAACACCGCCTCCGAAACCCTCCTGACACCCGAGCGTACCCGTGCGAGTTTGGAACACCTTGGCAGTGTGATTAATCGATTCTGGCGTCAGGGTCTCACGCTCTTCAACCGCCATGTGCGATCCGCCTTCGTCCAACACAGCCGTTGGTAGCCCGTCCTCTGGTTAGCAATCCCGCCGTCGCCAGCACTGCCCCTCAAGTTTTTTTTTAGCCCGACCCCGCCCTCCGGCCCTGCCCCGACCCTGCATACTGACCATTCCAGCGCTCACAATCACTCCCAACACCAAGGCGCCGGCGAATATTCCTCCCAAGACGGACAAGCGTCGCCCGCATGTTTGCGGCACTTGCCAGCGCTCGTTCGCCCGATTGGAACATCTCAAGCGACACGAGCGCTCCCACACCAAGGAGAAACCCTTCGAGTGTCCCGAATGCTCACGATGCTTCGCCCGTAGCGATCTGCTACTGCGCCACCGGCAGAAGCTGCACCAGACCTCGATCCCCTCGTCACGTCCCCGAAATCGTCGCGGCTCTGCCAGCGGCGTCGCACCCGGCCAGAGCCGAGCTCGCAAGAATAGCGTCGCACGACCCAACCCAACTGCATCCAATGCACCGGCCACTTCTATGAGGCCGCGGGCAAACACTATCATCCATATTGACGGCAGCACGATGCAGATGATGGCTGCTGCGAACACCTCCGTCGTACGAGGCATGTACCCTAGCAATACCCATAGCCGACACTCGAGTCTGGCCGGTTCGCCCATCCACAGCTTGGACCATGATTCTGGTGGCATGTCAGCCGCCATGGGACTCCGAGATGTGCAGCACGGGCTGCCCAAGCTGGAAACGCACACCTTGGGCGGCCTGGAGTTCAGCAACGGCCTCCGGACAGCGCCGCCAATGGCCGCCTTCAACACTGAATTCGACCTTGAAGGCTCCCTTTTCGGACCGAGCTCGACGACAAACCCCAATGCCCTCCATTACAGTGATTTACCGCAATCGATGGCCTTGGAACAGGCCTCATCGTTTGCACCGTCCTGTAATGAGATACCATTGAGCCAAACCCTCGACGAGGATTTTGACTGTTTTACTGGATTTGAGCATCAGATATTCTTTCACACGAGCGAGAATCTGGTGGACGGATCTAGTCCGTCCACCATCAGCACGAGGAGGAGCACAATTAGCGATGTTATGTTAGATGGTTCAATCCACCCCTCGCCGACCGGGACGAGTACGATGTGGCAACCCTCCGTGATGGACCCTTCACAGACCCTGAATCCGTTTGCGATGGGTCCAAATGGTTAGGTCTTCCCGGATCACTTGAATGGAGCCCCTTTGTCATATCAGCCAGCTTCTCACATCATCAATGACCGTTTCGTCTTTACGCCTCCCCCAAGGATATTGAGGTAGCGCTCGCAAGAAGAAAGGAGATTCCTGGCTGGCTTGACGATCACTATAACGAACTGAAGGACGACCATTTGTCCCACGATGATTGGCAGGAGCTCGAAGATATTTCTTCTTTTTGCAAGCCCCTGTTTTTGCTACAAAGGATACTGAGGGGAGGGCAAATATACTGGATGATGTGCTGCTCTCAATGGACTCTCTGATTCAGCACTACAAAGAACAAAAGGAGAAGTGCGCTCTTTCCAATCACCCATAGCTTGAAGCACGTATCCTGGCTTCGTAGTTCAAGTTTGATAAGTGCTATAAGCTCACGGTGACACTCCAGTCTATGCGGCTGCAGTACTTCATCCAGCCTACCGCAAGGCTTATTTTGATATCCATTGGGCCCATCACAGGCAATATATTGATCCGACAATCCGGGCCGCGTGCAACCTATGGTACAAGCACTTCAAAACCACGAGTCGAAGGGTCCGCGCAAATGCCCAAGTTTCAGAGATAGAGAATCTGTTTCAGCGCTTCAAGGCTAAGGCAGCTGGTGCCATTCATGATCAGCTCCGAGACGAATTCGACGACTTCATTGGGGTATATTTGCGTCCAACTCAAGTCGGCCCGCCAGTTCGTCTATCCGAACCTTAGGAAGATGGCTATCACGATCTTCTCGATCCCACCAGTCTCAGCCGAGTCGGAACGGGTTTTCCTCAGGTACAAAGCATACCATTGCGCCTGAGCGTATTCGGTTAGGACAAGAAATGGTAGAAATCACCGAGTGCGAAAAGAACTGGGTGAGACCATTGGCTAATTCGATGATAGAGACTGGTTTTTGTTCAGAAATCGAAGGGGTCCGGGGCAGCGGGGGGGTTCGTCGTAGACGAAGCCATCGCCACGGCTTGCGGCTGCGCAAAACGCAGATTGAGGCGTTTGTTGTGCACTTAAGGATTTTGGTGTAGACAGGGCCACTTTCTTAACACTTGTATGCCAAGAAAGTGAGATGATAAAGGAAGGTGAATAGTTGGAAGTAGATTATGTTATGTTATGTTATGTATATTTTCCGTCCGGGGGGCCGTAGGCCCCAAAAAGTCTCCTAATGGAGCACAGGACGTGCTGAGCTAAACTATCTACAATCGCTGCCGTGCTGATTCTCGCTCGGATCATCTGCAAGGCCTCTTGGATCGGAGCCGTATACATGCTCGAGCGTTTTCTGTACTCATTACCTCCAAGAGGCACCTCTCTACTCGTAGCCAGCTCTACAGTAGTTGTCGGTGAAGCACGTCCCATGGACATCAATACAGTTGATCTCAGCAGAGCTTCCCTCCAGCAACTCTTCTATCTAGTTCATCCAGCATATCATCGGCACAAAGGCGCTTTACTTTCAAGAGGTCATCCCGTCAGCGGGAACTATTCCTCTCCAGCCTAGAATTCTCTTGCACAGATAGATGAAGTAGCTTTCCATACCCTGAGGCATGAAGTCCATGATCCCCTAAGATCGCCAGTAGCTGCAACCCTAGAACCGTGCATCCTTGGGGAAAACCCTTGCAGGAGAAAACCCCAAGGCGGCTAGAACGCTGCTCTGTGGACGAGGTAGTCGCCTCATTCCACGGTCTCCAGGTAAGCTCTGTACCATTTCGACCCAGCGGTTTTGTCTAGTGGTCTCAGCCAGTGAGACAAATTGTCGAAGCCCGGTCGTGTTCCGGGCGGCAGCCGAGGCTGCAAAGAAGAAGAGGTTCTCTGGGCAGTACACGACTACAGAGATCGGTCATGCAGCTTCCGAGCTGCAAAAAGGGCAGCGAGCCATTTGGGGCCCGTGCGTCGAGATAAGGGGGCACCAGAGGGCCCAAGAAGTCGAGCAGCTAGCGGCTGCTGGTGTTGTTCGGGCAGCAAAAGCTGCAGAGGTCGGTCGAGGCAGCGCAAAGCTGCAGGTGAGTGTGAGGGTGAGGGTGCGACGACCCTCAATGTCGAGCGGCAAGATGCCGCGAATGTAGTCTGGGCAGCCAGGGCTGCAGAAGTCGGTCGTACGGGAAGTCGAGGGGCGCAGAGCCCGGATTGTCGCAGGCTCGCGAAGCCGGAATGTCGGGGTAAGAAGAAGCAGCAAATAACACGTGAGAAGTAGCGCCCGAAGGCGATGTCAAGAGCTCGCGAAGCTCAATGTCGTTGCAGACACTCGTCGCGAAGAAAGGTCAACTCTCTGAATCCCTTTCTTCAGGCAGCTGTTAGGGTCCCGTTAACCCGACAGCTGCTTTTGTTGCCATTTTAGCCTGCAAAAATTCTCTACCCTAGCAGAGCGCTAACAGCGGGGTGCCAAGGAAAATTTTTTACAGGAGAGAGTTGTAGTTGGAAGTAGATTCTATCTGTGGCTATCTGGTGTAGGGTAACCTCCGCTGGGACCTGAATCACTGGCGGGTTATTAGGCGAAAGCATAATCCACCGTGGTATATCAATTATTTCAACTTGTAAAATGCATGAATTGATTTGATTGAAAGGGAGAATTCGATAATTTGTTTGATTCGATTGGGGTAATTGATTGATTGAGTTGACATATGATGAGGGCTGGTCGGCAGTAGGCCGCCCCGAACCCCGAGGAACGAGTCGATCTCCCGATTGCCGGAGTAGGAACTGGCCGCTTCAGTCCCGCTTACTTCAGCCCACGCAGGAAGTTCTCAGAGGCCCACTCAACAAATGTTGAACAGGTCCTAGGGTGTCACGTGCGCAGGGATACTTTAAGATTACGCGCCTAACTGGCGAACCCTTCAAGGGACAGAATTTGACACAACACAAGATGAATACACGAATCTGGATTAATGGACCGACTACACGTAATGTCTGACAACAACATGCTCCTTTCGAGATGGTGGTTGTCAATGAACACAAATAATTTTTCGAGCATTTGCTGCACCCATATTTCGCCAAAGATGTCTCGATCGTCCCCAGGGCAGACGGTAGAGTTACAAGCCTAAACCCCTGATCGTCGTTCAGCCGTCCTCCGTCACCGCGTCCGTGTTGTGTCTGTAATAGGCAGTGATGCATTAAATCAGGCCATGATTACATTAACCCACCCAGTAGGTTGGCCTGGACCCCATTGATCGGCAAGGTGACACAGAACACGGTCCAATGATCGGCTAGTACTCGAAACCCTTTGAGTTTGCATGGGGTAGTCAAAAGGTGGTGGCGCAAATGCGGTAACACTTTGTACCACCTCGTCTGGGTTAGTGGATATGTCATATCTTCTGTTGGGTCACGTCGAGAAAGAGACATCCGGATACATCATCGTGCGAATTATCATGCGAACATTTCCAACGCCATTATTTTCAGCGCAGCCTGAGTTGAGAGAAGTGTTTAGGGCGTTCCAATACTGCCACGGACTCAAGTGCCGCGGCGATCCCTTTCAACCTCAAGATATATCCCGCCCCTTCCCCCGGTGCCAACTGTCTTCGCGCCGTATCCGACCGTTCCTCGGGGCCTCCCGAGCTACAGAGACCGTATAGACTGACGCCATTGTCCCTCTCCTCCAGCATGGTAATCAAACTCGAGTGTTCTACTGCACCGGCATGCAACTCGGGCCGTCACAAACCATCGAAAGCCCCGCCCAGGCGCACAATCGAGAAGCGCCACGACACCCAGTTGAACGATACATTTACCGAACTACGGGATAGTATCTCTAGTATGAGAGTTGTAATGGGAAAGGAAGGAGAGGAGAGTGCAATAAAGGATCCGCAAGAAGGAACGCCTAAATTGATAGGAGATGAGGTTAGTCTGCACCCAACTCGTGACATAATAATCCTTACCTAGAATAGGAGGCCATTATATGTATGGCGAGAGAGTATATTGCGCTCCTTGAGGAGAGAAACAGATCTCTCGTAGAAGAGCACACAGTACTGCAGTCGACAATTGCTGCGTTTGAGATGTTATTTCCACGTTACTAATCTTCCAATGCATGTTTTGCGCATCGACATGGTCAGGTTTAACGTGGATGTCGCGGCGGGTGATGAGGGACTTCTAGGGCCGCCAGGCTATTGGGGCAGCCGAGGCAAGAGGGAGGGGACACTGTTAATGTGTAATGGATACTTAGCCCTGGAGCGACGGTCGCACTGATCGAATTCATTGTATGTTGATCTTGGACAATTGTTGCTCTGCCTAGCTGTCTTGACAAAGTGCGAAAACATCCCTCCTGTGAGCAGAATGAGAGTGTTCTTTGTGGCATTGACGACAAGCAGGAACTCGTTGGGAGAACGACGAAAACTTCCCCAAGAAAAGCTCAGTGCTTCTCGTGGCTGTCCGAAGCTGTGGTCTGATGAATGCTAGTTAAGTCCTCCAGATATTTCTGCAGCACCTTTTCGTTGCTGTCTAGCTTCTCGTATCCCTTCTCAACTGCCTCAACGCGGTTAAAGATGAGGAGTAGCGAGTCCCGCAAAGCTTTCGCATGCCTATATCCACAGCAACAAACGTTAGTGAGCAGTTCCTGCGAGGAGGTCCTCGGACACCTCTTAACGTGCATAGGGAGATCAATAGGCTTCACTAACCGGTGCAGTTCAGTATGCATTTCACGCTTCAACGCTTCGACTTCCTCGCTCGTCATCCGCGGACTCATGGCCTGGGTGTCATCCGGTTCAATTGCTGTCTCGAGAGGCTCCCTGGTATCCTTGTCAGGACCGAGGATGGACGAAGGCGGCTGGCGCGCTGACAATCCAACCAGCCCGGTCGGCTGGATGTGGATAACAGGAACCGGTAAATATATAGGACAGCTGGAAACTAGTGTGGGAAGGTAACCCATATGGGAATTGCGACTGAAATGGAGCCGTCGAATATGGGTTTGTGAACCCAGCGGGTGCAGAGGCTGGGCTCAAGCAAAGATATAATCTGGGTCGGTGACACAGGCTACGTTTCGCCGAGAATTGGTGGGACCTGCCCCTGCTCGCTGATTCGGAAATGTTGTCATGGCTGGTTGATGAATTTTGGGGTCAGAATGACCTAAAACTCTCTGTACAGTCGCTGGCTGAATGGATTGGCTGCAGAAAACTTACGGTAGATCGCTTCTGCCGTTGACACTTTATTACCGGCATGAGTGTGCATGCCTCCGTGATCCTCACTGCGCGCTGGAGGCATTCAGTCGCTAGGAGCCCAACAGTTGGGTCCTTGTGGCGCACTTGGCAGCTTAGTAGGGGACCTTGAACGCAAGAATTGCCTGATTGCCAAGCCCCACAAGAGAAGACACGGCAGCTAAGGCCTCGCCTGATCGGCTTCCAGCATGGCTCGTTGCAGAATTGTTCGTCCTTGTGCCAAGACCTACACACAGATGATACAGAACAATGACGGCCAAAATGCTAGTTATTCGGAAATGCCATCACTCCTGGCGAATTTTGCCATCACAATGACATCCGCTCGATGCCGTTGGGGACGTTAGTTATTCACATTTCCTCTCTTCAGCTAAAATTGCAGGTTTGTCAATGCAGCATGGCAACATCTCTGACTTTGCCCCGTAAGCTGCTTCGCGTCGATTAGAGAAGAGAGAACATGGCGCCGGACGCGGAAACTTGAGCCTCACGATTTCCACAAATTCCGGAACCGTGCTTGGTCCCTCACGCGATCCTCACCACCATGTCCAATTCCCCTTCTTCCAACGCCCTCCACCCAGCCCAAATTCCTGGATCCCCAGTTCCCGCCCAAAGTTGACCCAGTCCGTTGGGACAGCCAGCCTTACCCGTGCCGGCATCGACAGCGTAAGCCTGGGGCATGATTTAAATTAAGAGGCTGATCTTAATTTCTGCAACCCCTGTGTCGACCCCCTTGTAGCGATACCCACCCGGGAACTTCCGTGGCCGAGAGATATAAACGCCAATCCTTATCGAATTGCCCAATATATATCTTAATATTATCTAAGACTTAACCCTAAAGTTAAATATATTATAATTAATATTTAACTTAAGCTGATTATATTTAATAAGCTTATATTAAAATATTAATAACAATTGATAATAAAAGAGATATTATAAAATACTAGTGAAGAAAAAAGTCCAATAAATTAAGACTGAGTGCCGGACAAGTTGGATTCTCTCTACCATCACCAACCTCATCATTTCCACCGTATGCATCCCTGTACGTGGCCCACACAACTGCCGCTTCCCTCCAGCATCAAGATTTACGGCATTGACCAAGCAAATACATCCAACAACCTCCCTGCCACCCTCAGCCAGGGATAATCTCGAGTGCATTTCAGATGTTTCAAACCCCTGTTTCTATCCCACAAACTTCCAGCCACTATCACAATCACAAACAATCACAAACACAGATCACGCCAGGCCTTCGCCCATAGATGAGCATCTGACGGGGCGCGTTGATTACACAGTAGCCTTGCACCTATTCGCACATTATTTACTGATCCTTGCTGACAGCTTGTGTGCTTGTTCGAAAAGAGCTAGGCAGTTTCACAATACATCACATCACATCCCAGATACGGTCCGTGCACTCGGGGTCGAAGAGCGTGTGCGGATGGACAACCGACTTTGAGCGGCTCTGTATTAGTACAGATGACAATCCGAGGAGAGATCGGCCACTTGATAGAAGACTTCACTGCATTTTTAACTACACGCGAAGGGATCAGAAGAATCATCGTTGGTTGGGAGAAAATTCGTGGTGGAGACTGCCCGTCATGGCGGACCCAATAGGGGCCGAGATCGTAGTGGAGCAGGATGACGCCCCCTTTTCGACGCCAAAGAAACCGAGTCGAATGGTGAGGCCAACGAGCAAGGTCCGAGACACGGCGCGACAATTGGAAGACACTGCCAGAGAAACGCGAAAAACTACCCGGCAGACGACGCGAAATGTACCGGCCGAAGAACAGATCGACCGACCGACCGAAACCCGAAAGAGTAGCGGCAGTGGCAGCAGCAGCGATGGAAGGGCAATGCTGCAGAAGGCGCTGGATCTCCTGGCAGAGTCGCGCAGGGAGACCAAGAGGCTGCAGGAAGCGCTGAAGGAACAGATGGAGATGACCAGGGAACTTAAGGAAGCTGTTGCAAAGCAGGAAGAGACAGTGCACGAGATGGGCAAGCAGATGGTGGAGATCAAGGATCAGATGACCGAGGAGCTGCAGCGCGTCCGCGAGCAGCTCGAAACTATCACTGCGAATGCAACGGACGGACCTCAACGATCATATGCTGACGTCACACGACTGACACCGTTCTTACCCCACAACGATTCGAGGACCTTAGCCGCTCCTCCGAACCCCACAGACGTGCTTTACTGCACGATTGACGTTTCAAGACTAGAAGAAGATGAGGCTAGGCTCTCAGCCGGGACGATCCGAGCGACAGTGGAGAACGAAGTCCGCTCCGAACTGGATAATCCCACGTGGCGATGCCGAGCGGTGACTAAGGACCCAAAGAATCCCCACCGCGTCAGGATCACCTGCAGGGACGAGAGCGAGCATGAGATTGTGAAACGCGTAGCGGAAACAAAACTGGCCCCAGGAGCCCGGATCCTACGAGACGACCTGTACCCTATCAGAGTGGATAATGTCAGCCGTATTGCAGTGCTAGACGAGAGGAACGAAGTTCGAACTGAGATCACCGAGATGCTCGGCCGAGAAAATGACACCGAGGTTGCAAAGATAGCATGGCTCAGCAAGAGAGATATCCCCAAGGCGTATGGCTCGATGGTCGTATATCTCAAAAAACGGTCAGAAGCTAGGCGGTTCATCAACGAAGGATTCTTTGTGGCTGGAGGAGAATCCGGTACTACAAAGGCGTTTGAACGTCGTGACCGCCCCAAGCAATGTTACAACTGCCAACAGATCACGAGTCATAAGGCCTATCAGTGTGATAGACCACAAGTTTGTGGAAGGTGCGCGCAAGAAGGCCATCACCACAGTGCATGCACAGGAACGATTCCGAAATGTATCCCATGCGGCGGCCCCCATGAGTCATACAGCAGAAACTGTCGGAAGCTCTATCCATCACAACATGAATAGTATATTCCGACTGTTTCAACTGAATGTCAGAAAGCAAGGACCGGTACATGATAGTTTAATGAACGACAAGGACATTCAGGATGCAACCATATTAGCCATCCAAGAACCCCAAGCACGGAGGATCCAGGGTAGGCTATTAACAATACCTATGGGGCACCACAAATGGGTCAAGATGGTACCTACGACAGAGATGGAAGGTAGATGGGGGATTCGGAGCATGATATGGGTGAATAAGGATGTGGAAGCCGAGCAGGTGGCGGTAGAGTCCCCAGACGTGACTGCAGCAGTCATCCGGCTGCCAGATCGTCTGGTCTTTACGGCGTCTGTCTACGTATCCGAGGGAGACGCCCAAGCTCTACAGGACATATGCACTAAGCTTCGTAAAGCTATTAGAGAGGTAAGACGGAGATCGGGGAGAGCGGTAGATATAGTACTCGCTGGCGACTTTAACCGCCACGACCAGATGTGGGGCGGAGACGATGTATCAGTGGAGAGAGGGCGAGGCGGATCCAATTATTGACTTGATGAACGACTTTATGCTTAGAAGCCTCCTTCGCCGGGGCACAAAGACATGGCAAAGCGGAGACTACGAAACAACCATTGACTTGGTTCTGGCTTCCGAGGAGCTTGCAGACGCAAACATCAAATGCGCGATACATGGCACAGAGCATGGATCGGATCATCGCACGATAGAGACGGCATTCGACATCTCGGTCCCAGTGCCAAAACAAGAGGAAAGGCTGCTATTCAAGAACGCACCTTGGAAAGAGATCAATGGCAGGATCACGGACACACTGAGAAGCAGGCCGCTGGGAAACACGGTGCAGCAGAAAGCGGATAGGTTGATGTCGGCCGTCTTGGATGCGGTCCAAGAATTGACACCCAGAGCCAAGCCGTCACCATATGCAAAGCGGTGGTGGACTCATGACCTCACACAGCTGCGGCATGTATACACATACTGGAGGAATCGAGCCCGTGCCGCAAGGCGTGTGGGACAGAATGTTAAAGGTCTGGAGAATACGGCAAAGGCTGCGGCGAAGCAATACCACGATGCCATACGGCATCGGAAGAACAGTCACTGGAAGGAGTTTCTGGCGGATAACGACAACATCTGGAAAGCAGCCAAGTACATGAAGTCTGGGGACGATGCAGCTTTTGGGAAGGTACCCCAGCTCGTTAAGGCAGATGGAACAGCAACAACGAGCCATAAAGAGCAAGCCGAAGAACTACTAGCCAAGTTCTTCCCGCCACTGCCAGACAACATCGAAGACGAAGGACCGCGGCAACAGAGGGCCCCAGTAATGATGCCCGACCTGACCTAGGAGGAAGTGGAACGTCAACTGTGGGCGACAAAGTCATGGAAGGCACCAGGAGAAGATGGACTGCCAGCGATCGTCTGGAAGCAAGTCTGGCCCTCGGTGAAACACGACGTCCTCGCCATCTTCCAAGCATCACTGGAGGAAGGCGTGATACCGGACCAGTGGAGACATGCTCGAATCATCCCACTCAAGAAGCCAGGTAAAGATGACTATACGATCGCGAAAGCCTGGAGACCGATCTCGCTTCTCGCTACGCTGGGTAAGGTGTTAGAGTCGGTAGTTGCCGAGAGAATCTCTCACGCGGTAGAGACTTACGGACTTCTTCCGACCAACCATTTTGGTGCGCGCAAGCAGCGGTCAGCAGAGCAAGCTCTCGTACTTCTACAAGAACACATCTTCTCAGCATGGCGTTCACGCCATGTTGTGAGTCTCGTCAGTTTCGACGTGAAAGGCGCATACAATGGCGTGTGCAAAGAGAGGTTGCTGCAGCGGATGAAGGCGAGAGGGATCCCCGAGGGTCTCTTGCGCTGGATCGATGCCTTTTGTTCAGAGCGAACTGCAACCATCGCAATCAATGGCCAGAGTTCCGAAAGCCGACCTCTACCACAAGCAGGACTCCCGCAGGGATCGCCCCTATCACCGATACTGTTTCTATTCTTCAACGCAGACCTAGTGCAAACGCAGATCGACAAGAATGGTGGGGCTATCGCTTTTGTCGACGACTACACGGCGTGGGTGTCTGGGCCGACAGCCCAGAGCAACCGGAGAGGGATACAAGCGGTTATTGACAAAGCTCTCGACTGGGAGAGACGGAGCGGTGCGACTTTTGAGGCGGAAAAAACGGCGATCATACATTTCACCAGGTACACAGGCAGGGTAGACTCTGAACCATTCACTATCAAGGGTGAGAGAGTCTTTCCGAAGGATCAGGTCAAGATCCTGGGTGTCATCATGGACTCGCGGCTTCACTACAAACAGCATATCGCAAGGGCAGCAACGAAGGGTTTAGGAGCTGCGATGGAACTGAAACGACTGAAGGGAATGGCTCCCTCGACAACGAGGCAGCTTTTTACAGCCATGGTAGCCCCTGTGGTGGACTACGCCTCCAACGTCTGGATGCATGCGTGCAAAACAGTATCGGCGTATGCCATCCATCGAGTACAAAGGGTAGGAGCGCAGGCGATTATAGGGTCCTTTACAAACGTGGCAACGGCAGTAGCCGAAGCTGAAGCGCACATAGCGACCATCCATGAACGGCTCTGGAGAAGAGCGAGCAAGCTCTGGGTAGACATACACTCTCTACCACGAACCAACCCGGTCCGGAATCTTTTACGAGGAATCAAAGCCTTCAGACGCTTCATATCTCCACTCAGGCGTATCGCGGATGTATGCAGAGAGCTACCAAAGGATACCATGGAAGTCATCCAGCCATTCACCCTCGCGCCATGGGAGGCACGCCTACAAGTCATACTGAACAGTCAAGGAGAGGAAGAAGAGGACAAGAACAAAGAGCTAGCCAAAGCAGGATGGGCGGTCAGGATAGCGACAAGCAGCTCCGCGCGGAATGATCTGGTCGGCATGGGAGGAACTATCAGAATCCCCATATCCGTGGCAAGAGCCGGCAAGATCAGTGAAACCTTTTCGGTCACCCTGGGTACGAGAGAAGAACACAACCCGTACACGGCCGAACTGGCAGCTATCGCTCATTGTCTCAACCACCTGCCAGAGATGAAGTATCGAGTCATTGTGATCGTGACAAGTAACAAATCGGCTGCACAAGCTATAGGTAACCCTCGCCAGCAGTCAGGTCAAGGGCATATACGAGAGATATATGATGCTGTAGAGAAGCTCCGAGGAAGCGGCAACAGAATCAATATTATATGGCTACCCTCTAATGGTGAGCTCAAAATTCAAAAGACAGCCAAGATGTCAGCCCGTCATGCAACGGAGCTGTACATGACGCCACAGAGAGGATTCGCCAAAGCGAAGACCACAATTCTCAATCGAACGAGGGCAGATCTACGAATGGAGAGGAAGCTACCAGATGGAGTTGGCAGGCATTCTAGAAAGGTCGACTCAGCTCTGCCTGGAAAACATACTCGCCTGCTGTACGACCAACTATCATGGAAAGAGGCCAGCGTGCTTGCGCAGCTCAGAACCGGAATGGCGCGACTGAACGGCTATCTATATCAGATCAGGGCAGCACCGACGGATGAGTGCCCATGTAGGCGGGCAAAGGAAACGGTAGAGCATTACCTCTTTCGATGCGTGAAATGGACGACACAACGCAAAGAGATGTTTCAGTGTACGAATGAGAAACGCGGCAACCTCTCTTTTCATCTGGGAGGTAAGGCAGCATCAGACGGTCAAGAATGGACGCCAAATATGGACGCAGTACGAGCCACAATCAGATTCGCGATCGCTACAGGTCGCCTAGAACAGAGATGACAGGAACACCACTAACCTAGCAACATTTTATCAACACTAACCGATAACCTACGACGCCCTCAAATAGTCAACAGCAGGCACCGCTTCAGCCGCCGAAAATAGGAAACTGAACACTTGGAGAAATTGGGCTTCAAGTTGACCTGCTACTACTAACACCAAGGAGGACCAAGAAGAAGAGCGATGACTAGACTGGAAGGAACAAGGCGAGAATCGTATGGGCTTGACGAGAGCAAGGCAATAATACCTAGCGAAGCGTATGTACCTTTAGCTTCAGAGCCCATTGGGCGTTGGCCTACCGGGCGTAATAGACTTGTATTGTATTGTATTACAATGTAGATCATTCTCAGTGGGGCTCTGATCGCAACAGCGCGTCTGCGTTTACTAAATAAAGCATCAGCTATACTCCTATTCCTTTGCCCCAAACCCGGACTGGTCAGCCACATACGCTTCTCAGCCAGAAATCCTGTCTTACATTCAGCAAGTAGTCCGCTCGTCCGACTGTTCTGATTATATCCATCTCAAGCAGGAATGTGTCGCGGCAGAATGGCTTGACAACGAGTTGCACTGGCGTGTAAAATTGATCGACCTTGAGTCTGGGCAAAGTTATCTCAGATACACAAAAGTCTTGGTCACAGCCGTTGGATTCTGTGATGTGCCAAAGGGCGCCGACAAGATTGATGGGATTAAAAACTTCACCGGCAAAGTCTTCCACAGTGCTAGGTGGGATCATTCCTTCGATTTCAGCGACAAAAACGTGGGCGTGGTCGGCAACGGCTGCTCTGCGAACCAGTTCATCTCGTCTCTGCTCGATCAAACAGCTATCCAAAGTCTTGTTCAGTTTATGAGAAGCCCGCACTGGATCGCTCCAAAAGATAACAGCCAAGTTTCTAGCTAGCAACGATGGTAACTCTCACATGTTCAAGGCAAAAAGGTTGATGGCAATGTCACTAATTAGTAACCGACAGGGTCCTTCGCCGTGTACCTTTCACAAACCGACTTTGGCGATATTGGCTGGCTGCCAAATTTGATCTGGCCTTCCCAGCTTTCAAAAGTAACAGGCTGGGTAAGTTGCTCCGACAACGGATCCAAACGTCCCTTGCCAACTATATCCGACGATCAACGCCCCAAAAGTATCACCACATGCTGATACCAACCTTCGATTTTGGAGCGAAGCGGCCAGTCTTAGACCACGGTTACTTGCAATCGCTGCATGATCCGAGAGTAAAGCTAATCAGCACACCGTCTTTGTCCGTCGTTGCCCCCCGTGAGCTGCAAAGCAATAACGGCGATATCTTCCCTGCGGACGTACTAATACTTGCCAATGGCTTCGAAACTCAACAGCTTCTTACTCCGATGAAGATCACAGGCTTGAGGGGCGCAGAGCTTCCGGCTCTGTGGCAACAAAGCGAGAAATATGCATCTGCTTACATGGGGTACGTTAAACATTCGAAAGGCCCAAGTTTACAACGCCATGCTGACCCACCTGCAGAGTCTGTGTCTCAGGATTTCCTAACCTTTTTCTGCTCACCGGTCCTAATACCCTTCCTTCCGGTCACTCTACATTAGTGGGCATCGAGTGTTCCGTAGAGTACATCACACGATTGATGAGCCGTTTTCTCGACAATCATTCATCGAAGGTCAAATTTGAGGTGAAAGCAGAAGCCCAGGATTCCTTCAATACATTGTTGCAATCCAAGCTACAACGGCTCATTTACACTTCGGACGTGTCAAGTTGGTACATGGATAAGCGGACTGGGAAAAATACGCTGATCTGGCCCGGGAGTCAAGTTGAATTCTGGTATTCGAGATGTGTAAAGAGCGTGAATTGGACAGATTTTGTGATTGAAACACGCGGCTAGAAAGCAGGCAGCAGCATTTTTCGATGATGTAAAAGAACAGGATTTAATTACTATAGTTCTAAGTCATTTCTCCAGGCATCCCCACCCAGGAAGGATTGGACGTTGTGGTCCTAGTGAGAGAAAGTAGAGACGGTATGCATCCCCTGTCTAAAGACAATTCGGCTGTGCTTACGTAGAGTTTGGCAGGAATGGAACGATTGTCGTAATGAAATTGACTTTTGTCAGGGATCCTCACTCTTTCGCGGTTATTTCCCTTGGGAGGGCTATCTCAGAGACAAGCGTCGTTTCCACCCCACCTATATGTGATGACATATCGATGTTACCCTCCTAGGCCTTAGGATGGAGTAGCCGGCTGCATCTCGCATCCCCGCGAGCCTACCTTGTATGGAGTTGGCGTTCCCCCTCAACCACTTGAAACCAAGGCGCACTAACCCCAAAGGGGCAATCTTTCGATATGTCATCGATTATTGCCCAAATTGTGGTTCTTACGTGCGCGTGGCATGCGGGTCTTAATCTTCATTGAATCTTTCCCCTAACAGAATACAAGGATAATATAACAATGACTTCGACTAGAAGATCCTTTGTACCATAAATTGAGTCATCTATTACTTAATAGGACCTTATACGGAGGTTGAGAGAACTATCACGAAACAGTAGAATGCCTCAAAGATTAGTTGCGGTTAAGAGACCTTAGCATGCGGGCGGTCAATGCCAGAAATTGCCCGGAGCCGCGATTGCCTCCTCAATATCGTAATGCGCCACGATGGCATTCGATGGCAATAACCTCGTTGAGCCGAGGGACGAACGGGGCCAAAATATAATAATATATTGCATGAAACCCACGCAGTAATGTCTAGGACGCGGCATCACTAAATATACATATCGTGAATTAAAAGCGGGAGTAAGACCTACTAAGAAAGTCAGTTAACCCAAACAACCGAGCTAGGCTGCAGGTAGAAAGCACCGATGACTTTAATGTCCGATGTCTTTCTACTTCATGGAAATTCCTAACATATCAGCCGAGTTTGCAACATGTTGTCCCAGCTCCTTATCTGCTATCCCCCTGAAACTTCAGAAGCCCACCAGCACATGCCTCCCTTGTAAGTTCTTACTAGGAGAGTGATACAACGAAGTAAAGTAATGACGCATTAAAATATCTATTCTTTAGAGAAATTACCCATCTCTAGAGCACCATTACACCTCACATACTAACGAAAGCGGTGGCTCAAGTCCTGCATATGGGTAGGATTTCTCCGGGCTTGGCCCTATTCAATGCGAATTAACGGGGGTGAGTTGAAGGATAAAGTGGCCGCGATGGATGTAAAGGTTATGGCTTAAATGCGTCTGAGAGATGGTGTATTTAGATCTCAGCTACCAAATAATACAAGTTATGCCTTGTTGGGCAAGTCTGTGGTGCCCGCAGAAAATGGTGCAATATGGCATCTCCCCAACACGTCAATGTTGAGGGATTACACTTGTCAGGACTTCGTATCAGATGTCGCTGATGAATGCCAGAAGACTAAATAGCATATCCGTATTAACGCGGCATCCCTCACCCGGTTGAAGTGACCTGCGAAAGCCATGCCATAGCCAGGTGGCCACGTCTCCCTGGTTCATACCTCTTAAGGTCTGCTGTGCGATGAGAATATATGCCTCTGAGCAAAGCATTGTGAGCTCGCCGTAAGGGTTTTCTTGATGGTAGGCTTCCATCACTGGCTGGAACACGTATCCAGGCATTAGGAGAGGGGTCTCCTGACTCGGAACGAGGGCCATTCCATCTGTTGGGTTGACGGGCAGTTGTGAAACCGATGAGGATTCATTAGAGCAACATGGTGTCATTGGGGTCAATATATAGTCCTGTATGACTGTTGCGGGTAGCAAACTTCTAGCATCTGCAACGGCCTGGTTTGGCGCAGATTCAGTAACCAGCAGAGACTCGGGTATGAATTCAGATGACTGAGCCATGAGGATAAGCGCCTGAGGGCTTTCAGTGGGTGGAGAGATGAGGGCGTTGACTTCCGATCCAGATTGGTCATCGGAAACCATTGGCTCGGCAGAAGCCGGGGCGGGCAGTTCCCAAGCGCCAAGATCTTCTGTGTCAGAGAGCGAACCGTATGCCTGAACCGCTTCGCCATGAGTGTTGGTGAGAGGTAGCGGCGATGTGTCATGCTGACTTTGAGATTGTTGCGGCTGCAGCGTACGATAATCCGCCTCATTTTGGTCATGCGGCTGGCGGCGGCATCGAGCCAACGCCGCTTGAAGAGTTTCCACCTGATCTCTGAGGGTCAAAATAGTCTGTTCTGCTTCGCCGAGCTTTTGTTCCAGCGTTGCGATATGGTCTTTCCGACGAGCACGATGCCGACGCTGATTCTTGCGAACCCGCTCCAGCGTGTGCTGGGCTGAAACCCGTTTGGTCCTGCGTCGTGGCGTCGAAGGTGATCCCGGAGCCATGGTGAGTCGATATCATCGATATGTCACCGATGGGATCCAAGCTTCAGCCTGTTCCATTTATCTCCGGTCTAAAATGGTGACACATCGATATCGCGTTTTAGTCAGCATTTTACCCCCGTCCTTCTCGGCTAATGGCTACAAACGACCTATAATTGGACGCCACTTCTTAACACTCTGACCGGAATACGTAATTGCATCAGACCCATTGTGTGCGGCAAGTGTTGCCAATGCCGAAAAGGTGGATGAAGATGTCTCCAATACACGAGGCTGGATGGAAGCGCAAGTCGAACCTCCCCTCTAGGGCGAGCCTCCAGTCAGTCTCTCCGATCAGATGATTATGCCGATTCTATTTTGATTGTCCAGGATACCACTTGAATGTTTTAAATGATGACATATCGACGCGCTCGCAAGGACTATATATGTACGTGTACATTCGCGAACGGGGCAGGTCCATCACCCCACCACGACGCATTTATTTACCAGTCAACCCTGGTCTTTTTTAGCATAAACTCACATTTGATACTCTCAATGGAGCCTAAGGAGATCTACGACCAAGTTAATAAGCGGTACGGCTCAATCGCCAAGAGCAGCACCGGCCAGTATGAGCAGACAGTCGCGAAAGCCTTTGGATACACAGAAGAAGAGCTCGCTGGCGTTCCTGAGGGTGCGAATCTGGGATTGAGCTGCGGCAACCCAATTGCACTTGCAAGGCTGAGAGAGGTGAGCATGCCCATCCCTGCGCCGTGTCGTTTCGCTGACAGTCAAAAGGCCGAAACCGTCATTGATCTTGGGTCTGGCGCTGGCTTCGATGTGTTTACGGCTGCAAAGAGAGTTGGCCCTAAAGGCAAGGCCGTCGGAGTTGACATGAACAAGGTGCGCAAGCTCTTGCCTTCCGGATAGAGTCTAACATCTGTCTAATACAGCGTAATAGAATATGATCGACAAGGCGAATGCCAACAAAGCTCACACCAACGCCTTAAACGTCCAGTTTATCGAGAGCGTCATCACGTCCATCGCGCTACCCGACAACACTGCTGACTGCATCATTAGCAATTGCGTCATCAACCTTATCCCCGCAGAGGACAAACAGCTTGCATTTAATGAGATGTTCCGACTACTCAAGCCCGGCGGACGAGTTGCCATCAGTGACATACTCGCGCGCAAAGAGTTTACCGAGGATATTAAGAAGAACATTGCTCTATATGTTGGGTGCGTTGCGGGAGCTAGCCAGGTCAGCGAGTATGATGCGTTTCTCAAGAATGCAGGCTTTAACGGTAAACCGAATTGTCCCACTGAGGTATGATGGAGACTAATTGGTCTTTGCCAGATGTTCTCATCGTGGACAGCAAGAATGACTTGAATGTGTACTTTACCGCCACCGAGACCAAACCATCGTGTTGTGGATCAGACGCCGTTAAAGAAGGAAAGGAGGTATCGCCTTGTTGCAGTGTAGAGGCGAGAGAGAGTTGCTGCAAGCCGGAGAAAAAGCAGTCATGCTGCAGAACTAACTCGTCGGCGTGTACTTGCCAGAACCAGACGAGTTCAATGGCCAGTGAAGCCAAGACACTCGCTACTCAATTGGGGATCACAGACTTGAACGAATGGGCAGGTAAGAACACTGGACGCTTAGCCTCCTAGAGATCGCCAACTAACCCTTCCCAGGCTCCTTCCAGGTGTATGCTGTCAAGCCCGCGGCGAACTGAGAGCACCGTTGAAATCGGTTGACGCCGCCGATGGGAGGTTGAAATTTTCGCTAAACATAGAGCGAACTGTTGAAATCCGTTGTCACGGGTCAATGGCTATTCCGGTCCATTGGTGGCTGGGATGCGGATGGTCTTCTAATCAGTAGCTTCCGCTGGTTAGCGTTAGTTTTCTTCTTCTCCAATCAATACAATATGCACATTTCAACACGAATATACCCAAGTATTGCTCTATTATTGCATGAGACATGCCACTGTGGGTAACAACGTGGGCTATGAGATAGTTACGTCAACACCGATTGCATTTTCCTCGCAGTTGTCACCCAGCCAACGTCCGTAGATTCATTTCCGTTTCTGTCAGTGAAGCTACGTAAACCCGAATGCGAGAAGCAATTTAGACTAGGTACGAGGTCCATTAGGCCGTTTCATCCATGATCTGAAGCACATCGGTGTTCTGAACGACACAGTCTGACCCCTCGGCGCAACCAAGCTCAGCGCGGGCAAGCTTTGAGTCGGGGTGGCCTCTAAGCTGAGCAAGGATGATCGCGGCCTCTAAACAAGGCATACCATTCGACGTCAATAGACGCCCCTGAGGCGGCTCGGGCAGACAATAGCAAGCGGGATCAATTGACAGCATGTGGAAAGAGCTGCCGTAGACGTCTTGCTCGCCGACACAGGCGCATGTTGCATGTTCACTGTTTTGTTTCAGATGGCTGTTGGCGGGGCGTTGTGGCTCCTGCTTGTAGCTGTCGTGTCTAGACTCTTACAGGGGCGAATGTGAATAAGTTCATCCATCTTGGCTTGCTGAGGTGGCAGCTGGCTGGATTGACAATGTCAAGCTGGAGGGCGTATGGGCTGCCATGCGTGTCATCCCGGCGATTGACCAGACAATGCCACCGTTGATGGAGATCGCTGTTCAGAAAATGCCGAACGGCCCATGGAGTTCTGAAATGGCAGAGAGCCAGGCTTCTCCTGATGCGGACCGTCAACTACTGCTTGCTTCGAGAAAAGCGGCCGGGTAACCAGCCGACGCTTGGCATGGGAAGTTGAATCTTGAGTGATTCCCCATTACTCGTCGCAAGATAAGCGTCAACCGTCTCTCTCGTAACATTCCTCGTAGCAAGCATCTCCCTCAACGCCGCATTCTCCGCCGCCACAGCCCTCGCGGCCTGCTGCATCACGAGCGTCGTCTGTGCATCACGGCGCTCGTACTCGAGCATCCGCCGCTGCAGGTTATTGATGAACTCACGATGGCGGCGGGGGAACGCCGCTGGTTTTCATAGTTGACCAGCGAGGCTGGGGTTCGATTCTGTGAAAATGTGAGAGGGGTGTAAAGCTTGGGGCTTGATGTCTAATTCATACCTTTCTTAGCATGTCTAGAGAGTAACATCGGTGATGTCTCCATGCTGAACTTGAGTGTGTTGTGGAAAAGTGTGGTTGAACCGGCTGCATAAGGAAGACAGCTGCGATCATGGAACAGCGAGCTGAAGTTGGCAACCACTCGGACATGATGACGGCATTCAATATGCGAGTTGTCGCTATCATACACACTTAGAAAAGGGAATCTTGGGTCTGTCTTCACGGGTCTGAGGAGGCTTTAGACCAGAGAACCATGACAGGAAGAGACACGAAGAGTGCTCACTCGCATCCTGCTCCGAGTCCCACACCGGTCAAGAAATATATTGATAGCATCCCACAGTGCTAGTCGTCCACTGCCGTCTTGGTGGTTAATGTGTGTCAGAATGGTTTGCTAAACAAGCTTCAGACACATAAGCAGAGGTTGGATATACACGTCCGGTCACGTTACCGGGCAGGTAGACTGTTGTAACCTGATAGAATTCTACATACCACCCAACGCGCTGAACATGAATAGCTGTTACTTGGTTCCTCCAATTCGAGATATCCTAGAAAACATCTCGCTTAGGAAGCACTATATTCTGGTAGTTCCTGTTTGATATCCAAGTTAGAGACCATATAGCGCATCTTCTATGCTAACTTACATCTCCTTGACTAAGAATTACGACCCGTCCCAAGCAATGCAGAGATGCGTCTTCCTGTACTGGAACCAAATTGGTTTCTGTCATGCGGCGCGTATGAACAACCTGAAGTGGAACCTCGCAGTCAATCTTTTCGGCGTAGGCACCATTAATACGTATCCGTAGCGGAATCGAATAAAATCTAGCGACTAATTTGCTGCAAAAAGTTGGCTGCAATCTCTGTACCGAGCTGATGGGGATACGAATAGATGTGACCCATGTACCATTCTCGTTTCTGCCCTCTGAGGCATTCTCTGCCGAGGAAGACGTGGAAGAGGTCCTGAACACTTCATTGCTAGAAGCCGAGCGCTCAGTCTTGATTGAAGTGTTACCGTTGAAGTGGGATAAGGAATCGGGTTGGCGTGCCGCCCAGTTCTCGGCTTGATCATCTGGGGGCAGCGACGTCCATTTGAGGTTTTGGTACTTTGATTCGCCCACCTTTAGCACGTCGTCGTGCAATCGTAAGAGACCGTCGTCGGTCAGTAACGTCTGTTTGGGGACACAAGAGAGGCTGTTCGCGGAGTAGTACGTCTTTGCACGAAGCAGCGACGAAATAGTGAAAGAGAAATTAGGTGAAGGATGGAGTGAAGAGGAAGCAGCGTCAAAGAATATGCGGAGGACAATGTCCGTGGTAACGTTGACGTTCTCAGAACAGTAAACAAGTGCGTCCGGTTCTTCGGTAACCACCGTCAGAGTTCCGAGACGACGTCCAAACAGATGTTTCCGTAGCTGCCGTTCGACTCTTGTAATGAATTCTCCGGGGAAGCTTAAGATATGAGTTGGCGGTTGCACTTCCGTGTATGGCAGGAAATCAATGTCCTTTTTTGCCTCAGCGGTGACTGGATTGCCGACTCCTAATCCATCAGATTTTCGAAAAGTGACAATGGCCCGCAAGAAGTACGTGACGGCAGCTTCCGGTCTCGGGACCAGATCAAATTTATCGAAATAGGAATTTTGGCGATTGAATGATGGAGGAAGGCGTTGACAATGTATCGGCAGCTCCTCGTTACCGCTTGCTTCTGGCATAATAAACTGAAAAGGGAAGCTATAGGTGCGCCGAGGACCTAGAGCTTCAACGTTATGGCCCGGATATGTAACATCTAAGAACTTCCTTATGTCAATGATTACGATGGGTACAGAAGCATGGGCAAACCAACAGTCCAGGTAGACCGAGACCCAGTGCGATCGCGGATGTGCGGATCCGTGGGGACTACAAATGCCCGTTGCAGACCTATGGTTTTTGTCAAACAGAGCACAGATGAGGGTAACATCTGCCAAGCGCACCTATGAAGCGGATCGCCACTCGAGTAATGGAGAGCGCCGACTTGGACGTGAGCAGGATCTGTCCTTCCAGCGAGTCGCCTGGCCGAAGCGGCCCGAGCTCCGTCCGACATACACCGCAATCAAAAACCTCGATGTCCAACTCAACGCCTTCATGGTCTCTCCGATTGCGTGCCATCGCACAAGGCATGTGCGGTCATGGAGCAAAGAGGAGGTTTTCGTTGAGATGGTACAGGAACTTCGAAATTCGGGACACGTTTGTTGGCAGTAGTCTTAGTATAATTATAGTCACTCGCATTACTCCATCAAAGCCAGAGACTCTCACACGGTCGAGTATATCTCCCAGGCTGCTGGGGATGGAGCCGGGTAGCATGACAAAAGGCCAGAAAAAGCGGCACGGGGTCAGACGCCGTTGCTCTGCGAATGTGCACGGCTGGGCTTGTCACTCCTCCAAAGGAAACAAACACATAGGCTGGAGCGAAGCATTGTCTACGAGCCCCACTGTCAAACACCATTTAACTGAAAGTCCTTGTCATCCTCAATGAAGGATTGGCTACAATGAAGGTGCGTGGCCAATAATGCCACGCCCGCTGAAAGCACTTTCCAGGCCAAATGATGAGCACGCCAATGGGAGCCTAGCCCATCAAGGGACACGACTGACTAGCGACATTAGCTCCGGAGACGACTCTCATGTGACGGCTTTAGGGTCTTGGGACAGTCGAAGGGAGGCTGACTCTTTAAACGGAAATGCTTTGGAAGCGATTATCTTGTGCGATCATGTTCAAGGTGGTCGGTGGCGCACCAGACAATACAGATGGATGGTCCCGCACCAAGATCGACTAGCTGGTGGCCTGCTCTTTGGGGAAAACTCGCAATGTGATATCCGTTGTTTCGTCTCACTCGTCGTTTGAACGCAACTGTGGCTGGGGCCGGGGGGAGGGTGGTTATCTGTCAGTCCCTGATCTTGACTGGCTAACAGTTAATCAGAGCACTCCGAGCCACTGACCCCTCATCCGATTCGCCATTCATGGCGGCTAGAACACAGTTTTGTACTCCCAACCAAGCCGGCAAGCAACAAAGCAGCTGAACCAGCTTGACGATAAGGAATCTGAATAAGTTTGGTGAGCTCAACAACGAGAAGTGTTGCTAAAGTTCTGTTCAATACATATCTTGTTTGTGTCGACAGCTCGCAGACCAACAAACTCAGCAATGTGGAAATCCTTCTTACTATTAGAGATTAATTAAGATTGAAATTGATTGATAGCCTAGAATCATAACCAATTGATACGCTTCGATCATTTTAGCTCATTGAAATCTGGTGCTCTCCTGTCCTGCCTAAATTCGCTGTACGAAACAGGGTTAAGAGTACCCTGCATGAAGCCCTGGACTGGCTCGAAAATATAGCCATCAGAGCGTGTAACTAACCCTCGGTAGTAAGCGACTAACGTCTCTGGATGCGGTACGATTCCCCAATCCAAATAATATAGAAACAAACGCACAAGACGCCGGAGCTCAGAAGCTTTCACGCCTCCGATCCGAGCATAGGCTACAGTACGAAGAAAGGAGTCTGATAATCCCTTGCACGCCACCGTTGCCGCTGTGATCAGGAATCTATGGGCGGTGAAGGAGTTAATCAGAAAAGCAGGGAATATGCTGCTCAGGCGATCGATGTAGTACATCATGGACAGCAACATTGCAGGCGTTAGAGCCGCGTGTTTGGTAATTCGAGAAAGGTAGTCTCTCACAGTGATAGACGGCTTCAAACTAAGAAATATATAATGTTAGGTGGCATCACACCCTTCATTCACTACTACTTACAGAGAATGAAAGGGCGTGAGCCCCTTTGACAGGAGTGGCACACTGTTCTCGTCGTTCTCGCTGATGGCCTCTTCAATTACTGTGGAGACCATAAGGACTAGGTCTTCAAGATCGCATTGATGGTAGAACTGTGGCAAAATCTTCGCTGTGATTGCGTCGCTTTCGATTACAATGTGGATCTCAAAGATCCCTCTGGTGCTGATGGTGAAGTCGCCTGGTTTGAAGGGAGAAGAGGCCGAAAGGACAGGCGATCTTGGGATCGCTAATACCGATGACTCTCGACTTCCTGAGTCCGCTGTTCGCATTGTGTGTAAGCTCACAGCAATGAAGGGCGTTTTGTTTGCCTCGTGGAATCAACGCTGTAGAGCGAGCGAACCAGAAAAGTACACAAAGTGACAGGGCCTCAAACTGCCAGACTTATGTTGATAGGCCCACTGTTTGAAGCGTCATTGTCTCGGGACAGGGAGTCCACCCCTTGTCCTGACACCGTGACCCAACTATCAGCATCAGACTGAAATTAGTGCGGGGCTCGCGAGTCTATGGCTCTACTTGTGGGGGCCCAGGGGAGGGCCACCTAACAGCCCCAAAATAGGTAGCACGAACATCAAAAACAGCGCGACTGGATCCGACGCTGGCCCCTCCATGGGTTCTGGGGTCAGGTCTATTTTCGGCTCCAGTAGAGGGGGTTGAAGTCTTGTCACAGGAGTCTCATATGGACATTGACGTTGACTCCGAATCGAATCACCAAACCTCTCGCGGGACGACGTGCACATCCATTAGAGACTGGTGAAGATGTTGGCTCTGTCACCTCGCCAAACGGTCTCGGAAGCCAACTCTGCCCGAACACATCCAACGATCAGCTTGCCACCGAAGCGTATATAGTACCTGTCCTCCCGCTCTTGTCGCTGCCTCCCCCACACTGCTGGTGCCTCGCTGGCGACGGTGCCTCATAATTGTAATCCATGCTGACTACATTAAGGTGGCGTTCCACATAAGAAAAGATCGTTGGATGCTTATGCCGTTCCAGAGGCATGGTGAAGCTAGGCTTGAGATGGCAAGTTTTCGATGAGGCATCAGAGAAATAGACACAATCAACTACGAACCTGAATGAGCCGTCTGGGATGGTGCCCTCGGGATGGAGACGATAGGGTGATCATGGTGGGTCACGGCAGAGGAGTTGTCAATTTAACGTTTCTGGTAGAAGGTAGAACGGACCGGGCTCATCGGCATACCTCGGGTCCATGTTACAATGTCGTCTGAGATGCGGGCATTTTCGTGTAAGTTTTGGTTAACTTGTCAACGAAAAAGGAGGCGACGTGCATGATAGGTAAGCAAGTGGATCACCAGCCTCATGGAATCATGCCTCCAAGCTTGCAATTGGAATTTTTCAGCCACACAACATTGTTCACCAAATGAAGATGCCCCCATTGACTCTGTCTTCGGGGATCTTGAAAAAAAAAAAAAAAAAAAAAAAAAAAAAACACGAAGGATGCGACGCGCCGTTGCAGTGTATGAGGTCCCCTTCAGTACTTGATGCGCTGATGCTACCGCGTAACTTCACGGCGGGATACTATTTCTGGTCTAAGGAAACTCAGCGACCTAGGAGGATGCTTAATTATTTAATATATCCTCGGCTAAGATTTGCGTTCATCTTCTTGCCGGCCTCGTGACTTCAAACATACAACTAACCGGTTACTGGCTAGTTGCGGCGCGCCTCCAGTCAGCAAGCGATATGCCAGAGATTTTATCAGGGGACACCCAAAGCTTACGCGGCTTTTTTTTTAATCGCAGTTACGACAGTTAGAGGGCTAAAAGTAAGGGTCTGGATACTATTCACGGCTGGTTTATACTCATCTAGGATACACTCGTTAACTAAGTGCGGCATCGCCGAGCCAGATGTCTATAATTTTAATTGGATTAGCTTCATGATGGGCATTGCCTTATCCTCTGTAGCTATAACAAGTTCAGGAAGAGTGAAAGGCAAAAGAATGTGCAGCATAGACATAGCGAATGGACCACGAAGATCCAAGGGATCGATTCCCAAGGCTAGGCGATCCACGATTTATCGTTACTGCGGGCCAATATCATCTGTCGGCTTTATTCCGAGAGAGCAGCCTACCAAGAGATTAAGTAGTATCTACAACATAAAATTCTAGACCAATAACTATGCTGCGTGCTCCATCGCCTGTCTTTTGAGAAGTGATAAGGCATCCAGACCCAGAAAGACGCCGACGCGCAGAAAAGGAAAGAACGCGGCAAGGTGGTCCGGTATAGCAGGACATAACACACACATGTTAAGCAGATAAGGAAACCCTTGAGGAAAGTCATTTTGATTGCGATTTAATGGCTTTTAATATTGTGGTGGCTCTATAAGCATGATTGTCCGTCTAGGTGCAATTCGGTGATCTATTCGCTTGTCAAAGCCACTCATTCGTCGTGCCCATTCGCGTCTTTACATAATATAGCCTGTGTTGAGAGCTAGTAACTATTCAGTTCGTCTTCTCAGGGTCCCGCTTAGCCTCTAGCTTGGCTCTCCGTTCCTCACGTTCACTAAAGCGATCACCGAATAGGTCGAAATGCGGCCGCATGATGATAGTGTACTTGACAAGCTCCTCCATGCAGTCAACAACGCGGTCACGATTGGAGCTGGGCAGCATGCGACTGCCTTCACCTTCTGCGGTGAATTGTGTGAAGGCCTTCGGGACGGAGCTTTGGTTGGGAATGGTAAACATTCGCATCCATCGGCCTAAGACCCGTAGAGAGTTGACAGCATTGAAGGATTGCGATCCGCCGCTTACCTGGGCAACTGCTAGGGTTCGCCCTTGTGTTGGGCGAACAGAGCCTGCCGATAGCGGTATCCAGTCAATTTGCTGCTTGAAGATGCCCGTCTAGAAGCCCATATTAGTACTGTGGTATTGCGTCGTTGGCAAACAGCATCTTACCAAATTCCCATGCTGCTCTGGGCTAACCCAGACATGGCCGTCACTCCATCTGCTAAGCTCCCTCAGTTCCTGTACCTTGTCGTGTGTGTGTTGTACGTCATCTTTCTGCGGAAGGCCGGTAGGATCATAGACGCGAACATCGCAGCCGAGACGGAAGAGGATCCTAGAGCACTCATAGGCAAGTAGGCGGGAATATGATCTATTGAAGCACGTTTAATGCAGGGTTCAGACGTCGGATTTTAAGTCACAGTCGCAAAAAGAAATACAAGAGAAAGGAAGAAAAAGATTCCAAGAAAACCAATCATTGTGAACTAACCGGCTCCTCATACTGCCATACAAGACGAGAATACGTAATCTATCTTGGCCTGGATTGATGATATTGGACTCGACCAGTTTCAGCGTTGTACTCAATTCCAACTCTGCGACCCAGTCGACAGCTTCGTGTGTCTCGTCCAACAGAAACGGCCGGTAGCGCTTACGCACGTCTAGATCATCGTTCTCTGTGGAAATAGCGAATGACTGGCAAGTATATCCAGGTTCCGGTAAGAGATCTACACGTGGTCGTGAGGCAAAAGAATTGTTAAGATCGCCGTGGCCATTCATCGTGCTGGAGGCGTGGAAATAACGGGACGGTGATCGCAGTAGACTAAAAAGAAAATTTGGAAATACCGAGGCCGAGAAAGAATAGAAGACTCGGGTAGCTGGTTTTGCTAGCATGTCTGCATGCCTGGCGAGACATTGGCTCCGGTTAGAAAGCGACGTGGTGTCTACCCTTCCTTTATAGTAAACCCTTGAACCGGAAGCCCCGACACGTTTGCTCCCGCTCGGTGCAGTTAGTGGCTACAAGGATCATTTAGTCCCTATCAGCTATCCACATCTAGCGGACCCCAATGCGACATTTGCGCCTTACCCACATTGCTGCCCTGGCTTGGGGGCCAAAAAACTTGAGACTTGAATGGGTGGGATATCAGCGGATTTTGGTGTAAGCCAGTCTCAAGTTTTTTGACCACCGAGGCCTGGGCGCTCACGGAAGCCACCACAGGTATGCACACGCACACTACTCCAAGGTAACTAACAGAATAACAAATAAATGAATTAACGATATAGCATTTCATAGTAGGTCATTTAACAGACCAGACGGCGGGTTCATATTCGTCCATCCACTCCATAAATTCGCCGCCCGCCGTTGCCCAGCCCTTGATTCCTTCCAACAAAACCAAGCTTCTCATCTCGCTGTCGCCGCGATTGGCGATGTAGTCACCGAACCAACCAGCAGCTCGCGTACCGCGCCCACGTGACGAAGCTGTGAAACACGATCAGAACCCTCTCTTTACTAACTTGAAGTGAAGGCAGCCAAGCCAAGATGGCCTTCCAAGACGGACAGGAGGCAGCCCCTACTTACAGCAATACCAAATTATGTTGCGCAAACCCGCGGCCTTGAACACACCGTAAAGCTTGGGGATTGTGGGATATAAGCTTTGGGCAGGGAGGTTGATGGAACCACGAATCGTCCCGCCCTGAGAATTGTGCGAGTCAGCGGCATTGTGACCGTACGTGATAGATACCGAAGGGTAGCAAGGCCAGACTTACTTCATGGTCATTGCGTCGTAAATCAATGAGAACAAAGTCCTGTTTGGCAACGCTGCTAACTTCCTTCATCAACTTGAGGACTTCTTCGCGCGTCATGCTTCCCGGTTGATGTTCTGGAGCCGATATGCTGCATGCCATGGTGCTGTACTGGCCTGCTGTTGTGAAGCCATTGTTATGGTAGTGGAAGGTGCCGAGTAACTTTTCAAATATAACGAACGGGTCTTGGAATCTTGATAGGTATGTCAAATGTCTATGGCTCGCACTTTTGTCTGTAGGAAACTGTCAGCTTTTCAATGGCTGGGCAGGGTCGCCCAGACCATCGCGGAATTGCCTTGCTACCACTTACCGTTTCGTCCTGTCGGAGATCTGGTCACGGAGTGGGGTTCAGTGGCATTGGCTTACCTGGAGAGCCTGTCATGCCCCGCCTATGATTGGATACCACCCCCAGTCGGTAACACTCACGTCCTAGCTCCTTCGTGCTATTGGAATACTCGTCCATGATACGGGAGCTGTCCCGATGCGGAGGCATTGATTTGATTTGCGTTGGCGGTGCCTGTCATGCCCCGGACATGATTGGGTAAGAATCACCGTAGTGGAGAAAAAGGATCCTTACCCATCCGGGTTTTACCGCCTAGTCATTTCATGCGACGAGAGGCTAAGACACTAGGGGGAGTGTGTCATGTCCTACTTGTGATTGGCAGACTCCGACGTGGCGACCGAATTCCACAATCTCGGGCTTGGTGGAGGCCGTAAGACAGGGACTAACATATGGCTCTTAAATCACCAGCCCTCCTTTCATTGAGAGCGAAACAGGCAGATCAAATTCTACCTATGACCATTTGTCCAGCAACAGATACCAACAACCTAATAACATCGAATCGATTCGAGATCATGTCAGCAGAACCAAAAAATGAGCATGCCCTGTCCCCTACGGAGGAGCCTTGCGTCGGGAGGCCCAACCCCGACTTGGAGAGCCAGACCAAGGATAAAGTAGAGTCAGTATCCGCATTCAAGGCCCTTGGATGGCTTGATCGATTTCTCGCTCTATGGATCCTCCTGGCCATGGCAGTTGGCATTATCCTAGGCAATTTTGTACCCTCAACGGGACCGGCGTTACAGAAAGGCAAATTTGTTGGTGTGTCAGTGCCAATTGGTGAGTAAGCGCGTGGGTTGTCCGTGCTCAGTGGTTCGAACGCTAACAACATTTACCTGTAGCCATCGGCCTCCTCGTTATGATGTACCCAATTCTATGCAAAGTCCGATATGAGTCACTGCACAAGCTTCTAGCGCACCGCGAGATGTGGAAGCAGATCATGTTCAGCATCGTCATCAACTGGGTGGTAGCACCTTTCCTCATGGTAGGCCCGCCTTTTAACCCCTTTTGATGTCCATCCAGGGCTCATTCTAACTAACACTTAACCAGCTCGGTCTCGCTTGGGCCTTTCTCCCTGACAAGAGCGAATTGCGTATTGGTCTAATTCTGGTTGGTCTTGGGAGATGTATTGCCATGGTATGTATACGGGCTGTGCACTCTTTGAAAATATAAGAACGTAGGAACTGATATTCAGGTTTAGGTTCTTATTTGGAATGGCCTGGCCGGCGGCGATAACGAATACTGCGCTATACTTGTTGCGATTAACTCCATTCTCCAAATGGTCATTACCGCACCTCTCGCCGTGTTCTTCATTCGAGTCATCAGTCATGAGACTGGCATCAACGATGTTTCATACGAGGTGGTTGCTACGAGCGTCGCGGTTTTCCTTGGAATTCCACTTGCTGCCGCGATCGTCACCCGCTTTACACTGCGCATGGCGGCTGGGCCCGAGTGGTACGAACGCGTCTTCCTCCGGTTCGTGGCCCCTTGGTCTCTGATAGGTCTACTATATACCATTCTTGTCCTTTTTGCATCGCAAGGACGTCAGGTGGTACACCAAATCGTCTCGGTCGTCCGCGTCGCTGCCCCGCTCGTGGTTTACTTTATTTCCATCTTTTTCGTTACCCTTTTTATCGCTCATCGTATGGGCTTCAGTTATCCCCTCACTGTAACGCAAAGCTTTACCGCTTCAAGTAATAACTTCGAATTGGCTATCGCCATTGCAGTTGCTACCTTTGGCCCCGATAGCGACCAAGCACTCGCAGCAACTGTTGGACCACTTATTGAAGTGCCCGTTCTACTCGGTCTGGTATATCTCATGCGATGGGCACGGAAAAGATGGGCGTGGAACGTATAATGGCCATTAATACCTGGTAGCTTATATCAAGGCTTATGCAGGACTGTTTGCACAGATAAACTTGTAGGGTTACACGGTGGATTCGTATCCAATAGATTGGATTGTACAAAAATGGACCGGGCTTGTTGTGTTTAAACTTGAGATAAACAAAATAGAATTATGTGATTATTACTTTTTACTCCGAGCCCATGAACACATCTGGGATGTCATGTGTGGCTCTATGAAGCTATAGTACAACGATTGAACGATATCAGGGCTATGCTTGCTTATAGATGACACGGAATCACCCTCTCTGCATCGCTTCGCATCTAAACACAGGGTGTTTCGAACTTCAGTTTCGACCTGCTTCTGACAGAGGAACAACGATTTAATTAAGCCATCTTATCCAATATTTGGAACACGCTGGAATTTTGAACAAGACAGTCATCTGATTCTTTACAGTGCAACAGACCACGGACCTGGTCCGAATCTACATTGTTCTGCAGCCCGGCAATAATATCAATTGCCGTCTTGCAAGACAGTCCTCTGTTCCAGTGGCCTGAGATGGAAATGGGCGAGTCGGGTGGGCAAAAGCAGTCCGTTACTGGTGGGAGTATGTCTGTACGGCTACCCGGATCAGGGAAGTTGTCATTGCAAATGAACGAGATGCTCGTACGATCTGGGAGTTGAGCGGTGTATGAATCGTAGGAACCACCCTTCTCGTGGTCGCGGTTATTGGTGGCGACGCAATCTGTCTCTGCCATATCTGCTGACGGAGTAGACCTAGCAGTAGCTGAAGTTGCCAGTCCGCAGCTTGGTATAGACGAAGGGGGATTCAAGAGGGGTGTGCTTGGAGGCGAAGGAATATCGTCTATGTCCTGAGGATAGGTCGCGATTGTGTGTAACATGTCGGTAGATGGCTGCTCCATCGCACTATATCGTTGTCCGCAAGGTGAAGGTGGATCACTGCCTCTCTGCAGAGAATTCCGAAGGTCTAGATTTGGCTCAGTGCCGATAGACCCCACCAGCGAGAGGTGATCATCAATATCGTATTGCGAAACCCCTCGGAGATGGAGTAGGCCACGGAGACTTTTATTCTCCCATACGACGGCCTGAGCCACCCGCTGCATCTCAATACTGGCCTGAACGCCCCGACGTTCGTAATCCTGGAGCTGCTGTTGAAGCTCTTCAATAAATTGCCGACGCCGCGCACGTGAGCAACGCTGGTTATCGCGATTCTGAATCGCAGAGGCCGGGATCCGGTTCTATGTGCGCGAGCAAGTTAGAGGTTATTAATCAGCGCAAATCGGCATAGTATACCTTTCTAGGCATGGATAATGCTAAGATGATGTTCAAGATTTGGAAAGTAGGCTCACGTAATGTAGAGCGTAGTTTGACAGAACGGAGAATGCTCAGGTTTGGTGTTGGAGGCGTTGAACATCTGTCCAACTCCACCCTGCCACACGAACATCGCCGGAAGTTGCACGTGGGACATGTCGGAAGTGGGGTTGATGTCTGACTCCCTACTCCCACACAAGGATATCTGTCATGCCCTGATCATGATTGGCTGGAAAGACCCAGCCAGGTCCGTAGCCTCAGGTTTCAGCTCACCATGCCAAGTGACTCCAAACCAAACCCAAGGTACCATCTTCACACCTGTGTCACCGCCTAATTGCTCCACTTGCTGGCGTCATACTCGTCGATCCACTCTGTGTACTCGCGGCCAGCTGTCGCCCAGCCCTTAATGCCGCCTCGCAGAATGACGCTTCGCGTCTCTTTATCGCCCTGGCTGGCAAGATAGTCTCTGAACCAGCCGGCGGCTCGGGGTCCGCGTCCCTGAGATATCTATGATGGTTGGAGGGGTCAGGGTTGACCTGTGCGTTCAAAGAGAGCAAAAAAGCAGATCTCGACGCAACACCTTCCAACCGTAGTGATGCGCGGACCAAAAAACATACCATGCTGTAGTGAAAACTCCTATAAGTTGATTTAATCGAAGAAAATGCATTTTTTCTATCCCAGGCGACCTGTAACGGCCAAATGTATGTATGTATGTATATTTTTCGTCCGGGGGCCGTGAGGCCCGTAAAGTCCCCTATTGGGGCACAGGACGTGCTGAGCTAGAGGAATTACAGTCTATCTATACGCTAATTACAGAGATATTTGGCCCTAACGGGGATTAGTCATCCGCTACGCGAGATTAGTCTTCCCCCCAGAGTCCAATTTCTGCGAACGCGTCAACAAACTGCGCTCTATCCAGCATATCAACAGCACAAATGGCGCATCTTATCAAGCTTGCTACCCGTCAGCGGGATGACCAAGCGCGGTTGATGAATGACAGCCGCAAGGTAAGCCTGTTTTTAGGCGATCGTGAGCCTCTAAACGCGGTTGTCGCGGGGCTGCCTCCGAGTAATCGCAGTCGGATGGAGGGCGTATCAGCGCCTTCCATTTAGCTGCAAGCATATAAGAAAGAGGAAATGTAACAAAAGAAACGTATTGAAAATAAAAAGAGAGTGAGAGAGAAAGAGAGACGCAAGTGCTTCTCGAGTCGTGTTCGCCTAGTAGCGAGGGCAGATCTTTCCAAAGAACGCGCTGGCCTTGGATAGGTCGATATATTTGGTAAAGTCTTTTCCTATTGCTAGATTGACCGCTGCATTCGGTGAGGGCGCAAGCCTCATCCGATGACGCGGCGGTATCTTTCTGCAGTAGAAGATGTGATCCGGTGCTTTGCGTCGGCCACATGAGCAGACTAGGCGTGCGTCGACATGGTCGAATCTCTCGTGATACGCGGCGAAGTCCCCGTGAAGGGATCTCGCTGCCAGAAGATGGTGCAAGGCTGCGCGCGGGAGCGAGAGCTCCGGCGGGCAGCCTGTAGTCGCCTTGAGATTGAGCCTCTTATACTGCTCAGGGGCAGAGGTCGACCACCACGTCTCGAATGCTTCTTTCGGTTTCTGTCTTGCGATCCTTCGCAAGTATGCTAGTGTTGGCTGAGCCTGCCTAGGCTCGGGGGCTGATGATGCTGCTTTGGCCAGTTTATCGGCCTGTTCGTTGCCGGGGATGTCGGTGTGTCCTGGCACCCAGCGTACCTGTGTGGCTCCATGCAAAGCCGCTAGTGCCTGAAACTCGAGAAAGACGTCCTGTGAGGAGTCGGAAGGTGCGCCTCGCAGGCATGTAGCAGCCGCAAGATTGTCTAGGCAGATTATGATGTTTCGTGAAACTGATTCTTGTAGGTTTAGAGCGGCCTTCAAGCCCTGGAGTGCCCCTGTAGCTTCGGCATCGAAAACCTCTGCAGGTCCAAGGCGACCTGATCCGTGGAGAACGGGGAGACTGTCCTGATGAATAGTGAAGCCGTAGCTGGCAGCTCCCTGAGAGGACAGAGAGCCATCTGAGTATACGACTAGGGTTAGCGGGTCGAGTGACTGCACCCAATGGAGGAAAGTGTCGGCCGTTTCCTTCTTCGATGCTGTCTGCAGTGGTGGCATTTGTTCTTGGTTGAAGCGTTGCTGGATGAGCTTCGGTCGCGCGCACGGCGCAAGGAGCTCATCTGTGCGTCGAAGACGTGTTCGGAAGCTGCTTTCCGTCTGTACTTGATATCTTCGTTTGATGAGGTCGTGGTAAGCAGGTTGGCTGGGCGGACGCGTTCGACTCGCCAGAGGGTGAGCCTCATCAAGCGATTTGAGCCGTGTAGAGAATCGGAGTCGTCGTGCTTCAAGGAGTTGCGCGACTGGCGGTATCCCACTTTCTCGGTGGAGAGCAGCAATAGGTGTTGTCTTCCAGACGGGAAGTATAGCTCTCATAGACTGGTTCATGGCTTTGGTCATTCGCTGTATGAGATGCTGGTTGCTTGACGGTAAGTCTTTGGTAGGCTGACTCCATTGCGGCCTGGTTGTGCCCGGGTACCAGGCCTCGGCGCCATATAGTAGCACTGGCTCGACACATGCCCTGACGGCACTTCGTACGGCAGCCGGCTGCGGACCGTGTTTCGTGTTGGTAAGTCCTCGCAAGTGGTAGGCCACAGCTTGGGCTTTCGTCGCCCACTTTTCAACATGGATTCGGAACGATAGCCTGCTGTCAAGCCAGATGCCCAGCCAGCGTAGGGCTGGCTCGGGATGTTTCTCGATATCTCCGTGACGTACCGGTGGAGCGGTCCTGAGTTTGCTACGAGAGAAGTGCATGACTTCAGTCTTCTTCGAGTCGAAGGAGACGCCGTTTGTCGCTCCCCAGCGCACCATCTCGTCTATGGCCCCGGAAGCCATAGCCGTAGTTTCGTCTACTGTGTCGCCTATGGACAGGATGGCTGTGTCGTCGGCATAACCAAAGCGGCCTTGGGGGTTGCCCAATCGGTAGATAGGCTCTGTATAGAGCAGGAAAAGAATCGGCGATACAGGCGACCCCTGAGGGAGGCCGCACTCAAGAGGAGAGGAGGATGTGAGGGTATCTTGATATCTGACACGGGCCGATCGGCCACTCATAAAGGACCCAGCCCATCTAGCCAGATGATCGGGCCATCCTTGTTCACGTAGACGCAGAACCAGCCTGTTTCGCATGACGGTGTCGAATGCGCCTTGGATATCCATCGTGACCAGAGTGGCTACCTTCTTGCGGGCAAACGCCTCTTCGATATCATGGATCAGGGCGGTCACTAGGTCTGTTGCCGACCTTTTGGGGAGAGCCCCAGCTTGTTGTGGGTGAAGGACGCTGTAGTGAATAGCTGCCCATGCTAGACGGCGTGCGATCAGCCGTTCTAGACCCTTGCCGAGGCAGGAGAGCAGAGAGATAGGTCGCCAAGCCCGTGGCGACGTGAGATCTCGGCGTCCGGGTTTGGCGATCATGACCACTTCCGCCTCCCTAAATGGTTTCGGGTGGTGGCCTGCAGAGAGGCATCTCTCGAATAAGCGGCGGACGTGCGTCCCGATGATATGCCATACGGATTTAAGGAGATTAACGGTGATGTTGTCTGATCCAGGAGATGTGTTGCCTGTATGGAGGGTTGCATACTGTGCCTCGTCTAGGGAGATTTCGATTGGAAACGGGACCAGTCTAAGAGGAGAGACGAGCATCCAAGGGTCCTGGATGTCGTCGTCTGCAGTTCGTCGTTCCAGCGTGGCTCGGCGGAGTGCGTTAGCCTTGTCTATCTGAGATTCGTAGACGACATCGTCAACCTGCAGTGGTGGCGGCTGGAAGGGCCCTGGGGACTTCAGCCACCGAACGGCTTTGAAAACAGAGCTACTGTCGGAGAAGGTGTCGATGAGATTCCGCCAGTAGAGCCTTTTGGCTCGGCGGACTACGCGATGGAAGTCTCGTTTGGCGATTTGGACTTCCTTGTTGAAGCCAAGGGGGTAGAGTCTTCTGATTGCACGAAATGCAGCTGCGGCGCCGGCGCATTCTTCGGTCCACCAGGGAGCAGTTCGTGCACCCTTCCGTTTGGGCCGGCCAGCTGCCTTCGCTGCCGATGTTAGGAGATTCACGAGTGCAGAGGCAAGCTCATCAAGCTCGGATGGGGTCGAATCAGCCGTGGGGAGTCCAGCGGCTCCAAGCTCTACGATCTCAGCGAATCGTTTGAGCTCGTCATCTGTTGTCACCCGAACCCGGCCTGGTTGCATTGGGGCTAGTCCCGCATCGGGAAGGGTAAGGCTGAGTGTGAAGTGGTCAGAGCTAGTGGCAAGGTGATCTTCGACGGTAGCTTCAGCAAGTGGCATATTAGTAAAGGCAAGATCGATCGTGTTGCCGTGTGGGTTTGTTGGAATATCTGGAGTGTTAAGTAGGTCGAGATCATTTTCTGATGCCCAGTCTGCAATCTCTTGGCCACGGTTCGTCGCTTGTCCCGTCTGCCAAGTATGATGTCTGGCGTTAAAGTCACCGGCGATAAGGCAGCGTTCCGGAACAGGCCATCGTATCAGTATGTTCAGGGCATCACTCTCGTCGTTTTGACGATAGAAGTTAACTATCGTCATGCCGTTGATTGTAAGCCATAGAATATCCCGAGTCTGAAACGGCCGGATCTGATCAGCCAGGAGCCTTGGGTCTCGTCGGACATATGTCATGACTCTAGGTCGAGTGTCGTTGCCGTCCCATGTCTCGACAGGTGTGAACGTGTCGTATGCGGGATGGGTTTTAGTCAGGGAGCGAGTGTCTGTGTGAGCAGTCCACGGCTCCTGTAAAAGGGCGATGTCGTATCGTTCCGAGTCGGCCAGCGCCAAGGCGCAGTCGTGGGCCGGGGGGATCTTGCCGACGTTGGCCTGAAAGATCCTGAGCGGCTTCTTGTTGTTCTTTCGTGTCTGCGAGTATCTATTCCTGGTCAAGAGGACGAGTGATAAGAACTATGCGCCGTTTTCGCGGTGAGCCTGGTCGGGGATGCTCGGGCTCCTCCTCCGCTTCGTAGCCCGCCTGAGGGCTTGTGGCCACCATGATGCACGAGGGTGCTCCTGATGCCGCTGGACTTGGACCACGAATGCTCGGCTGTTCGTGCGATGCGATGTCGTCGCTTTGTTGGGCTTCCAGATGCGACTCTGGTTGTTGTGCTAGGTGTCGTTGTCGGTATACCTCTGCGCCAACGGTGCGGACATGTCCTCGTTGCTCTTTGGTAAGTCGGCGGAGCACGCCGTGCACTCTCTTCGGCCGAGCTGGGCACTTATGAAAGTTGGCTTGGTGAGGGCCTAAGCAGTTGATGCACTGTTCTGGTGCAGTGCAGTTGTCTATAATGTGGCCAGTCTTACCACAACGTTGGCAAACTGGCTGTCTATGACAGTTGCGGGCAAAGTGGTAGCCCCAACACGTCTCACATTGTCTAGGTCGGTCGGTTTTGTCAATCAGTCTCGCCGCGCTGCTGCCAAAGAGCGACCAGAATCTCTTTGTGGGCTTCAGAAAAGATACAAGTAGGGTCTTGGTCAAGGGGCTATCCGAGAATTATCGCGAAGGACATATATCAACAGGCTTAAGCCCCGTCTGGATTTCTATCTCGTCGCTGACGATGCTGTCACTATCCACCTCTTTACCGTGAAAGTCCGTCAGTCTTGTGGGGAAGTCTAAGACTACATAGGTGAACCATTCCTTGTTCGTTTCTACTGTCGTAGCTCCCAGTTCAGCCGCCCACTCGGCCTGCTTCTCTACGAGAAAGTCACGTGTCTCAGAGTCGGCAGTCAGGACGGCCCATCCCGATCTGACCTGGAAAACCTGTCGAATCTTGTCCGAGACAGCTCCAACTTTTTCCTGAATCAGGGTTCGGATTGCATAGCTACTGTGGGCTCTGGCCGGAGCCCCGGCTTCTAGACGGATGAAGACGCGGAGGTCTTGTCGGGGTGGGGCGATGGTCCTTGGTTGCCCTTGGCGATGAGGTGGATCTGTTTGGCGGCGTCCATGTTGTTGTTGTTGTCTGTGGGTTAGACGGCCACGGTCAGTGGGAGGCGAGGCAGCGGCTACGCTGCTGTAGGTAGGCTTGGGGATAGTAGGTCCGGCACTGGAGAGCTCTCGTTTCCAGGAGTCGAGGAAGCTGTCGGCAAACTGTTGAGCGAAACGTCGATGCGGTCCGGTGGTGAATTGTTGTGCGGCTTCTTCGAACTTGGCGCAGAAGGCCTGGAATACCATAAGTTTGGCATTGTACTCCTCTACGCGTTCGCGCGCGAGATCATTGGCTGATTCGATGATAGAGACTGGTTGCTGTTCAAAAGTCGATGAGGGGCTGGCGCGCACAGCTCCTTCCGTAGCTGCAGCAGTGGTAACGGCAATGAGTGGTGAGGATGGTGTCTGGGCCATCCGACCGGGTCTAGGTGAAACACCAATGGTGCCGTTGAGGGTTGCCGGACTGTTCTGCAAGAGGGCTGCACGGGCTCCTCGGTTCAGATTGGCGGGAGTGTGGATCCCCAAATCAAAGGGGTCTGGAGCAGCGGGCGGGATCGTCGTAGACGAATCCATCGCCGCGGCTTGCGACTGCGCAAAGCGCAGATTGAGGCGTTTGTTGTGCACTTGTTAAGGATTTAGGTGTAGACAGGGCCACTTTCTTAACACTTGTATGCCAAGAAAGTGTGATGACAAAGGAAGGTGCTGAATAGGATAGTGCAAGTTATGAAAATTGCTATAGGGTATCCCTTTATTTCTAGATGCAGCTTTCTGCCGTTTGTTCCGCCTGCGTTGAGCGTCTGCCGTCGCTTTGTCCTCGGCTGTTGCATATTTGCGTGGTCGTCCACGTCTTGGTGGTCTCTCCATATTAATTTCAGTATGATATTGTATGAGGTGGTAAGGGTTACTTTGTGTTGATGCCGGAGATTATTTTTTGATAACCCAATGACTATCTTGTTGCTTTTGCGGTTGCTACAGCAGCATGTGCTAATTGGCACCCCAGCCCACGAGAATACCTCTTACATAGCGGGCCAGATTAGCTACAGTCAGTATACCTGCAGTACAGATATCTACTCTTTTATAACGGAGGGAGTAGAGTATTAACCTGGGCGGATCGGTATTCTGATGTTCTAACTCATGTAATAGCACGGCCGACAAGAAAATTCGCACAGATTGAAGGATAATTAACAGGTCTCCCTCCCTTTCGGCTTAGTTTTTTGGAATGATGCGCTAGGCTCTATATGAAATAGCACGATTCGCTTCTGAAAATGGATGGATCTTGACCACGAAATTCACGATTGGCTGAAAGAGAGCCCCACATATCCAAAAACGGCCACATCTTGACCGCTAAATTCTGATTGGCTGCAATGCTTGGGACCGACGACGAGGTAATCAACTTCCAAGACGAATATATCAACAACCAGCTAGAAGAACTGATAGAAATATAAGTAAGGCAAGTCTTAAGCTCCTAATGTATGGTTTCTTACTATGCTAATAAGTTTTACGTTATATTCAGTATCTAGTTTGAGTCGGTCAGTATATGATGTTCAGCGCCCTTCATCTGGCCATGACCACTATTGAGGCAGCCCTTAAGCTGCCACATGCACAGGCTGATCTCAGCTCTCCTGAAATCAGGCTTCATCAGCGGCTGCGATATGCCAGCCGCGCCTTGTCATCCCGCTGACGGGTAATAGGCTCGATAGGATGCGCCATTTGTGCCGATGATATGCTAGATAGAGTGCGTCTTACTGATGTATTTACAGAAATTGGATGCTGAGGTAAAGACTAATTTCGCGTTGCGAATGACTAATCCTTTATAGCTAATAGCATTTCTGTAAATAGCGTGTAGATAGATTCCGACTTCTCTAGCTCAGCACGTCCTGTGCCCCAGTAGGGGACTTTCGGGGCCGATGGCCCCCCGGACGAAAAATATACATACATACATACATACCAACGGATTAGCACAGATTAATGGCGTCTTCGAATCCACCACCGACAATCAGAAGTCTATTCTTACAGCTACCATAATACTCCCAGAGTTGAAACAGCGTCACGTAGAATCCCAAGATGAAAACTTTCCCCTAAGCTTACCCACGACCCAACACGGAGACTTCTGCGACCGTGCAACCTGATGGCAACGCCAGATAAACGACCTTCCACAGATAACAACTGTGACGGCGCCTCTCACATGCTATTGACTCCCTACCATCTCTAGAAAATGAAAGGTTTATTCAATGCCCGTGAGACATTTATTTTAGAATGACTTCCCAAAGACTCCGTGGAATAGAAAGATTTATCTAGCAGATTGTACATAATATCTCATTTTGCCTATCTCGAAGAACTCCCACCAACCTTAGCACACTCTACCACATTAAACCACTTCTCTGTCCACTTCCTTAGTCTCGTTATCTCGAGCAGATGACCTAGCAACACCCTGGCGCCGCCGATTAAACAGAACATGAGGCTTGTTTCTGATTGACTCTCTGAGCTTTTCCTCGCTATGATCCATCCACGTATGGCCCACGGCACAGCTGACAGGGTGTAATGGCGCTGCTCCGAGTAAAAAGCGGTCAGACTCGCGCCGGTCAAAGGAGGCAGTGATGTCTAAGTCGTTTATGATCTGCTCGCAAAAGACATCAAGAGGCAGATCATTAACATCGCGGCCAAAAGGATTTTCGATTTCTTGGCCAATAAATAACAAGCCGAAGATGATATAAGCCGCCGTGATCGTAGCCGGAATAGCAATCCAGCCAAGAGGGCCAGTCAACTGGAATGGCAAGAGCATAACATATACAAAGGTAATCTGACTGATAGCAATAGTATATGCGACAGGTAAAGGGGTGTTAAGGACACGATCGCATCCAACTGCAACATCGTTAAGAGTGGTGATGTGATTGTAAGCGATAGTCTGGTGGATTGAGACTGGTAGCTGTTTATTGGCGATAATACAGTCGAGAGTTATCGCGAGGTGATTCAAGATCTCGAGAGGAAGGTTTCCTTGATGCTCACTGGCTCTCTTGAGATGCTTTCGGGGATCACTTTGAGCAAAGGAGAGCCCAAGATACTCGCCGGCAATCTTGCTAAAGTTGGTGACCCGCTTCGTCGGCGCAGTTGTCCTGCCAGCGAACGTATTGAGGTGTGCGATATAGGGTTGCATGTCAGGTTGACTAGCGCAGTGTTCGAAGCGGAGGGTGTGTTTGAGAGCAACAGCGTAGCCGGCAATAAGTTTCAAGGCCCCAAGCTTCTTAATCAGAAGTTCGCGGGGGTCTTGGCCGCCAGCACCGACATCATCAGCATGAATCCAGATAACACGGCCAAGAGTCTGGGAAGCAGTAGCCAGCGTTCCCCAGTATCGACGACCCTCAGCATAGCGTTCATAGGCTGTAGACGATCGGAATGAAAGGCTCAGACCAACAACGAAACCGAGAATAGTGAGCAGAACAGAATTGACACTTAGGTCATGGACCTTTTTGGAGATGACGGTAATGGCAGTTGCCCAGCATGCCACAAGCAAGAGCGGAAGGATGAGTGACGGCATGATGGAGCCGTGCAGCTGTAGCATCAGGGGCCATTTGGAGTGCTTTTGAAGATCGCGAGGGCCACTAAAATAGTTGTTGTCATCCTCTCCATCGCTAGACATAGGCCGTCGGTCGGCATTGATGAGTGGGGAAGGCGGAGAATCGTGGTGGTCTGAAGAGTTTCCAGGGCGTGATATGCGTTCTCTCATCTGTGCCTCCAGATGTGGCTTGGATTGCGATTCGTCATTTCCACCGGCGTCCGACATTTTGATAAAGATGTTGGAATTAGCAAGAAGAAACTGATTGACCGTACTCTTAGGATACAGAGGTAGAGCCAAGAGGGGGAAAAGATTGAGATCTAGAAGTGACGTAGCTAGATAATATAGCCAAAGGGTACAACGGCGCGCATGAGGGAGGGAAATGGACAATCCTAAAGGGGTCCCAGCATTGTCGCGGCTTGCAGTGCATTTGCGGTGATAGGTGCGGGACTTCCGTTGTGGCGGACTAGCGTCCAGACTATTGAAAGTAGTGAAATAAGCTTTAACATAAGCATTCGCCAAGGTGGCCTAGACCGGTGTTTCTTAAATTAAATTCGGTACTCTAAATTCTAGAGGCGGGGTTGTTTGACATTGCGGACTGGCAGACGCCACAGGGGTTCTGCTTCTGACACGGTGATCTCTGCTTCTTTACTTACATCTACAACGGAGGTGCTGTAAAATGTATTGTATTATGTCTATTGCTTTAGTCACTCCAAGATGTTTTGACATCGGCCTGGTCTTGAATAAATATGCAGCCTCAGCGCTTAATCGCTAGTTCAGGGACTTCAGATGGCCGTTGATCTTTGGAGCTAGTCTCAGGTGAAGCTAGCCCGCAAACCATCAAAGCTGAAATGAAGACGCAAGCCAGCGCTCGGCCTATTGAGATGCTCGCGTGATCACACTGGCGCTGTCGTGCGACGCACCACAGGGGTAATGCGTTGTTGATACATCGTACAGTTCACCTTGCAGACTGGCTTGTCGCACGCCCGTGTGTGTTATCCCTTGATAATGGTCAAGGGTCAGGAAATTGCTGACCCCTTGAAAGTTGAGGCTGTGGCGGTACAGCGGCGCCTCAAAGCAAAGAAATACGTGGCCAGTTTTCAGTGGTAGCTTGATGTAAGTACAAAGTAGTTTATCTGCATGCAATGAATGCACGGTTGGTCTCGAGCAGTCTGCCTGAACTCGAAGATATTCAGTACTGAAAATTATCCCTGCAGTGCGCCGTCGCGTTCTTGATGAATGGACATAGCCGCCTGGAATGAACTAAAGCGATCGTTGAAACTTTTTGAAATATTCCTTTTAATATGTACCGTAAGTCTAGGCCTTGGAGCTTCCTCGTTCACTGAAATGGATCTACTTCAAAAGTCATACGTGGTGCTACTAAATGCCCAAGACATTCAACATTTATTCCGTCCCAAGCCATTACTAATAATATTGAATGACGGGCGTCGACAACTATAATATAGCAGAAGGTTTCCTATTTTGAGGGTGAATCAATAATATAGATCGCCTAGTCAGATCTGAGCCATCTCCGCAGAGCGGGCCGACGGCTCGATGCTGAGATAGCGCGTGGGATAGACGCGCCAGCTCAGAGCCAAAGAACACATGACAGCCAATCATCGCCTCTTCGTTACCATCGTTTCCAATCGTTGGCCTGCATTGCTACTTTGTCACAAATGAACTGGATTTCGGTATCTTCTATTGCTACACACCCCCCAGATTAAGAGGGCTGGTCATTATTACTGGTAGTTTGTCGGCGACCACTAATTGCTCGCCTGCAATCAGCTTCATTCTCCATGATGATGGAATGGTACCAGAGAAGTGAAGGTGTAATATAAGACATATGTAATGAATTTGAGGAATGAAATCGGTAAAAGGCTTCACAATCAGGGTTGCAAACAAATAAATCAAATCCAAATCTATTCAAATCAAATCAAATGGGCCATAATGTTATCTAAATCAAATCAAACCGCGATGTCTAGATTTATTTGGATATCTGGCTATTTGGATAAGCCCTACTGCTGTGATCTGGCCCAATCACTGCCGGTCATTACGCCCCTGACCGCGTCGCGCAAGGATAAGGTTACACGAAATTCTGTTTTCATACCACTTTGCGACGCGCTGCATACGAAATCAGTTTATTCTAAGCCTATGTCGGTCTTGCAATAAATACACTGCACTACTCCATAAGTGGCCTAGTCTGAGAATATTATAAAGTGATCGGTAATTTATGATAATTCTTGTTGTTTATTTGATATGGTTTAATATGCGAATACTGGCTAGGCATTAAGAGCTCTTTCTAGTGCTCCTTCTACTGCTTTTAGCCTCCTTGATAGCCCTGACCTTGGTTTGTTAGAGACTAAAGGGGAAGCGGTAGATGATGTATCGTTTTCGGTTAACTATATTGGCTATAAAGGCATTAACTAGAATCGCCTTTTGGGGTATTCTATTCGCAAATATTAAAGAAGGCCGCAGATAGGGTAGGTATAGGAATACGGATTTAATATTAAAAAAGACGGCTCCGGTTACCGATTCTGGCTTTGCAAAATGTATCACCAGAAGAAGGCTACGATTACCTATATGTACGACGCTGCATCTATGAGCCAAGTAAATGGTTATATGGAAGATATCTACCGTATTAATAAAGACGGATCCATGCCACCGCAGAGGAAGAAACAATGCACTCTTTTCGACATGGTTGACCTAGACCCTTATCGACTAAAGGATCAAGCCTTAATGAACGCATTTATAGCATTATTCGAACCTGCCCGCTTTTAGCATTTACTTATATGTTAGGTAGCATGCAATAATATCCCATTTTATAAGCTTGAGAGCCCATACTTTTGCGGTCTTATGGCGTATATAAACAGTGCTATCGTGGATTCGGGAAGTCTTCCTACCCATAGTATAATTTGCGAATGGATTGTTTGGACCTTTAGTTGCCATAAAGGTATTGTAATGGAATTACTTGGCCGTTCTCTCAGCCGCATTAATATATCCTTTAATGCGTAGTTGTCTCGCAGGTTTACCTCTCTGCTTGGCCTTACTATGCACTTTCTTAATAATAAAGGGAAGTTCCGTACATTTCTCCTAGGCTTACTACAGATTAAAGGTCACCACGGCAGCAAAAACCTTGCCGACTGCGTTAGCGAGATACTTCATAAATACGGCATCAAGGAGCGCACTGGGTACTTTATTATAGATAATGCGGGCAGCAATGATATGTGTCTTGAAGATCTAGGTATTGAATTGGGTTTTAAGAAGCAGTATTGTCGGCTTCGTTGTTGTGGTTATATTATTAATCTCGTTGCTAGATCTATTCTTTTCGGCACGGATGTTAATGCATTTGAAGAGGATTGTCAAGCTGATAAGGAAATCCAAGATAAGGTCTAACTCTGGAGATCAAAGGGTCCTATAGGCAAACTGCATAATATTATTCACTAGGTGCAAAGGTCTGGTTAGTGTATTAAGAAGCTCTATAAGCTCTAGTCTATTAAGAATACTGCCTTAAGCCTTAAGGATAAAATAACCTACGACGTCATTACTGATAACGCTACTTGCTAGAACTTGTCTAAAGCTATAATAGAGCGGGGCTACCTGCTTCGGAATGCACTCGATTCTCTGGTTTAAGCAGAGGTAATAGAATGGAACCAGTATGTGGCCAGGAGGACACAGAACGGGATAAAACCATTAAAGATTGCGACCAAGTGCCTAGAAGGCCGACCTTAAGAAGGCAAATTTGGCGCGATTTGGGAGGTTCTGCTAACGATGGAGTGGCTTTTGAAGCATCTGGAAGAGGCTAAGTTATAATATGAATAAGACGAGGAACCATACCTACGGATTGGCTGCAACCTCGGCTGGATGAAACTGGACTAATACTATACCCTTACTGAGGATAGCCCTGCCTACCTTGCGGCGCTTGTCCTCTATCTTGCATTTCGCTAGTTAACTATCAAGTCATAGTAGGCTAACCATCCGGACTAGTTAATCAGAGGAAAGACAGCAGTGCAAGAGCTATAGGAGGAATATTGAAACCTCTCTGTTAAGCAGGATGCGCTACTAGAGCAGCTGACTATTATAAGGTAGATAACGGACCTGGATGACTTTATGGCCTTGATTAGGAAGCTTAGTATTTAGCCTGCGCCTTCGCCGTCTGCTATGCGCGATGAGTATGCAGAGTGGGTGGCCATAACCGATCTAGGCGATTGTTTAGTGGATGACCCGATTTAATACTGGCTTCTCTGAAGGCGCCAGTATCCACGTCTGTCGCGGATGGCAATTGATCTCTTTTCAGTCCCGGCCATGTCATCCGAGCCAGAGCGGATATTCAGCCTCGCCGGGCAAATGGTCACGGCTCAGAGAGGGCGTCTCAAAGCGGATCTCATAGGAGCTGCTCAATGCATATCGTCTTGGGAGAAAAGTGGGGTTATCCAGATATCCAAATCAAATCAAATCAAATCAAATCGATAATTTTAGTATCCAAATCAAATCAAATTGGACCCTTGATTTGATTTGATTTATTTGTTTGCAAGCCTGAAAAGAAGCAAAGAAGTCAACTAATAAAAGGGCTAGAACCCTACTCCTTGTGGCTAAGGTGTTAATGGATCTTGATCCCCATCATGCAACTCTGCTCACGTTATACGTGTGACTATGGGGCGAGTAAGCCCTTCATTGGGCTGTTACTTCGAACCATGTTGTTACTAATAGATGCCTCGTCGAGCGAACACCTAAAGCTACAATACGCACATAATGCATTCGTGCTAGGATATGAATCACAATAGCGGTGTCATTGTTCTCCTCTCCTTTGCACGTCTCCATCTTTTTTCATCATCTCTCATCTTTAGGGCGAATTCTCCAGACACTCGTCGATTTCCTTCTTGAACTTCTCACGAATGACTTTCCGGTTCAGCTTATGCGTGGCAGTGACAAGTCCCTGGGTATCGGTCAATATGGCTGCACCTAGATAGCTCTGGGTTGTTTGAGACTTACGCTTGGTGGGGTCCACTCCTCATCGGTGATGACGACGCCGGACACAATTTCCATGCCAGCTAGGCCAGAGCGCTTGCTGGTGCTCTGAAGATCCTTGAGGATGAGGCTGCGAACCTTAGGGTCGTAGTGCATGCTGTGCTCATCTACACCTAGGCCCTTAATCTTCTCAGCGAGAACGGTCTCGTTGGGCATGATGACTGCGATGGGGCGGGAGTGTTGAGAGTCGGCGTGTACTATAACGTTTATTATGGTTTGGGTGCCTCGGTAGACAGACTCGAGCTTCTCCAGGGCGATATACTCACCGCCCTGCGTCTTGACAAGATTCTTGATACGGTCGATGACTCGCAGATGGCCGTTGTCGTCGAACTCTCCGATATCACCAGACTTGAACCACCCATCGCGAGTAAGGGCCATATTCGTCTCCTCGGGGTTGTCATAGTACTCTTTTATGATCGGAACACCCTTAAGCCATATCTCACCCTGAGGAACCTCTGCGTCCGTCGAGTATCCAATATCGGGAATGGAGACCAATTTCACTTCAATAGCAGCAGGGACAGGGCCAATTGCATTGGGTGAGTACTCAAGTGGACAACCCAAGGCGCCGTTGGCGCAACTTTCAGTGAGGCCATAACCAGCCAGCATAGGGGCGAGGACCATGGACAGGAAGTGCCTGGTGCCGGCGGAGATGCCGCTAGCACCGTTCATGGTGAATCGAAGTCGGCCACCAGTCAGTTCTCGAACCTTGCTGAAGACGATTTTGTCAAATATTCCAGCTCCGGGGAGATTTTTTTTAGCCATGAAGGTCTTAAAGCTGAAGGCGCTCCAGAAGAGCGCCTTGATGACAGGGCTAGAGGCGTCGAGCTTGGATATGACGCCCTTCTTGACGGTTTCCCAGATCTGAGGAACCCCGACCATGACAGTGGGCCTGAACTCCCGCATATCACCAGCGCAGTTCTTCACTGAGGAGTCGGCGAGCGTTCTGGGGTTACCGTATCCAAGGGTTCCGCCAATGAACAAGACGAGGTTCTCAAGCGCCATCTCGAAGACATGGGCTAAAGGCAGGTAGGCAAGCACGTCCTCCTTGTCGCTAACGCATTCTTCAACACAGGTATAGAGACCGGCAACTATAGCCGAAGGAGTCAGTCAAGCCCGTAAATGGGGCAAGTAGTGTGTAAGAATAGGATTGCGAATATACCTCCAGCAACGAGCGCCTCGTGCGTGATGCAGACCCCCTTGGGAGGACCGGTAGAGCCGGAGGTGTACATAATGCAGTAGAGATCGGGGCCTTTGGCCGGCACCGGATCAACCGGGTTGTCCTCGCCCATCTTTCGCAGCTCTTCGAATGTCAGAACCTTGAGCTCGGCGTGGGCGTGCTTGAACTCTTCGATCTCATCCCCAGTCGCAAATATGCAGCTCTCGTTGACAATGACGGTCTTTACATTGGACTTCTTAAGGGGTCGGGCGGCAATCTGGAGGAGGTGAGGGTCGACGTACATAGCGTCGGCCTTAGTCTGGAGGAGGGTGTGTTCAAGGCCGCTTTCGCCGAGTGTATCGTAGGCTGTGACTATAGAAATAGACTGGGAGGCGCAGCCGTGGGACATGGAAATCCAGCTTATGCTAAGGAGATTGTGAGCGCGATCCGGCATGAGTTGACCACAGGAGAAACATACCTCGTGGTACCGAAGAGATGAAGCTTGTGCTTCGATGTCAGGCCTAATCTGCGCAAGCCATAGCCAACCTGAAGTGCAAGCTGCTCGTACTCCTTGAACGTCAAGTACGAAAATTTTGAGAGCTCAAATAATTGCCACTCCTTCTCGAGCTCCTGGATCTCGCCGTCAACGACCTTTTGGACCTTCCTCCTCTCCTTGTACAACTTAACGAGCTTCCGGGAGCCGACGGCGCGGTGGTTGGGGTAGACGCGCGCGCTACGGCGGACGATATCGAATACAGTGTGGACGTCGTTGACGGGACGGTTGATGAGGCCGTCCTTGGCTCGGGGATGGCGACGCGGGACGGTCTCACCGGGGACCTTTGCATATCCGGGAGCTTCGATGGTGAACGGCGGTTTATGTACCTGTTTCAAGGGTATGAGACCCGACGTGTAAACCATCGTAGCAACTTTGATAGTACGGCGGGGGTCGAAAAGGTTTCAGTCCATTCTATAGAACGTTTTGTATGGAAAGGAGGCGGGTTTGGTCGTGCATTCAGAGTCCGAGGGGAATAATACGGAGGTGTATTAGCGCAGGAGCGATATGTGGCAAGACCTTCAATGCAGCAACCGCGGGACGGAGGCCAGCGCAGACTAATATATTGGAGTATGATAACCACTGACGACATTCTGACAGCTTCAAGAGTAGATACATTTATATGAGAAGCAGCTGATGCACAAGCTTCTTGGCTGAAAATAGAAACTCTGTCTCATTCGGGCTTAACGAGGCGTGGCGCTTTTTAGCCAACGTAACGTACCCCTCGACGAGAGATGACGCGGCAAATAAAGCCATTGCCTAGCAAGACGGTTACAACTATCGATAACCCAGGAGCTTAGAGATGCGCTGCTAGGTATACTATCCCTTCGGCTGTGCGAAAGCTCCCTAGTAACCAGACAGACAGACAGGTCTATTACGCCCGGTAGGCCAACGCCCATAGGGCTCTAAGAACTAACAATACATACACTTCGCTAGTTATTCTACGTGTCGTATTGTGCCTAACTGTCGGGCCATCGTAACTCACCCTTTTGAATTTTGCCGTCACAGTACTAGCCGTTTTGGGATGTCGCGGTCAAGTTTTTGACCAATCAGAATTTAGCGGTCATAACATCTGCCTCTTTGGTTTTCGAATCCGCCGCACTAGCCTATTCAGGATTTCGCGGACATCTCCACTTACAGGAGAGGCAACCCGATCGCGGGTTGCGCAAAACAGCCTTGAGGAACGAAGTTTGCAGTTATCGCTTGGTCTTCCTTGAATTCAGCTTCCAAATCAGAGGTCATATCATGTCTATAGATGGCTAACTTCGGGCACCGAGAAACATCGAATTCGTGCCTTACCTTGTATTATTTTATGCGAGAAGTGTTTAAGAAGGGTGAAAGATATCTCCTCGAGGGTTCGCTGAAAGCACTCTGTTCATGGTAAATGAACAGCTGTGTCGGCTTCGAGGCTCACCACAGGACTTTAGAGGTATCCCCACAGTGCTCTTCTGTGGCGACTTCCACCAGTTCCGTCCCATACAGGAGAGGTCTATCCTGCTACCCAGCACAGCCACTTCATGGTTTGAACAGGATTCGTTCAGGGTAGAACAGAGGCGCCAGCACGATAAGGCTTACGCTCTGTGGAGGAGATTCATCACCGTTGTCATGCTGAATGAGCAGATCCGCGCTGCCGGCGACCCGGAACTGCGAGGTCTTCTGACGCGGATCCGGCTCGGAATCCAGTATCAGTCAGATATCGACCTCCTCAATAGTCAGTGCTATCAGGAAGGCAGGCGGATACCATGGGAGTCGGGCATCACAGTCGCCACCCCGCTCAACAGGAACCGATGGAACCTTAACATGGAAGCCACTCTGGCCTTCCAAAGGCAGCACCAAGCCGCAATGCGCATCTTCATATCCGACCATAAATGGAAGGACGGTCAGCCGACGGAAGAAGAGGCCTTCATGATCCTCAACCATGGCGACGACAGCGCCATTCCCGTGTCGGCCATCTTCATGTTCGTTCCGAGCATGCCCGTCGTCGTCAACCAAAACACGCATCAGGGTCTCAAGCTCGTCAACGGGGCCAGCTATACAGCTTTGGAAGTCATCGTCGACAAGGCTTCTCCAGGATACCAGGTCTCGGCGGATACGACACTCCACTTTGGACCCCCGGCGGGCATCCTGCTCTCGGCGGAGACGACTAGGAACTTCCACTTCGTCGGCATGCCGGCCGGGACGATCCTGCTCACGCCGATGAGCATCAAGATAGAATGCCAGCGGAAACATCCTTGGCAGCAGCATGACGTTACTCGGAAAGGCCTGCCGTGCACACCAGCATTCGCATGCACCGACTACAAGGTCCAAGGGAGGACGCTGAGCAGGGTAGCCTTAGAACTGCGAGGAACTAGGACGACAAATATCGATAGCGAGATAGTGCCAAGCCAGTGCGACCCATACAGTCTATCCCATCGAGTGCTAACTGACGCCAGGTACATGGGGATAAAGAGTTACAGCCAATCAGCGCTCTGCCAGAAAGTTTTGACCCAACCAGAAACCGCACCTTATCCGTAAGATGGAGATAAAAGCGGGGTAGTTGTACCTGGCGCCAGTTAGCACTCGATGGGATACGTACAGCTGTCACGCTGCCCGTCGCTCGACGGCATCATGCTCGTGTCTAGAGCGCGTGAGAGGGACCAGGTCGGTAATAAAATTTCCGCTGACATGGCAGGTGCGGAGGCTCGGCTTGAACTGCTGAGCCGGGAGACGGTAGAGAAAGCCCAGAGCTGGCTGTATGGGTAGAGGGAGGACGTGCCTATGCGGATATGAGAATAACAGAATAAGAGCGGCACATCGCATGTTAATGTGAAGGGGTCAACTCAAAAAAGCAGGAAACGAGTCACACCGAATGTACTAAAACGGTAAAAAATGAGATGATGAATAACAGCAGTGGTATTGGCCGATTGTTGTGAGAGGTCGTCTGGAGTGAATGAATAAAATTTGTTCCGCTCGGGAGGACTAACCTCATCCCACGAGTGCTCACAAGACAACACCTCCGTATCTTTTGAGGGGTCAGGCCAATTAAAATGCCGCAAATTAAAGGTACATCTTATTACGCCTTTTTCTATTATGATAGATGTACCCACAATAGTCATTGTTACATAACGCGACTTGGCACACAATACACCAATATCTCGTCCCTACCCGGATCTTGTTAGCATCACCCGGCCCCAGCGGCTTCCTCCTTTTCTGACCTTTTGACCTCACTTGACCTTGCCGAAAGCCTTGACAGTATACGCAATCCACAGGGTTCTTCCGACGGACAAGATTGTGCTCAATTGGCCGTGTTTCGGTGCCCTCATCGTCCAATTCCTCCCCTGCACGATATCTCTTCCTTGACTAACTTTCATGACCATATGTGTTAAATAATGCGTTATAAATGCACTCTCGCCATTCCCTATGATTCGTATATCGCTTCCAACGCGGCTGCCCGTAACGCTGAAGAAGATAACTGTTGACAAGGGCCACAGCTAGGAGGAAGGTCCAGCAAAGCGCCTTCCAAGCGCCCCGGCGTAGGGGATGCCTATACTCATAATATGACCTCAACTGATCACCACGGTCAACATGATTCATTTCTTCGTTATAAGCAGCAGCGACCGTCGGGATTTGAACTATCTTGATAGCTTCGTCATCAAAGAATTGGCGTATTGGCTTGGCCTCGGGCTTGCGTGACGACGGCTTCCTCCTTTGGCGTTCAACTCGCTCATTATCGGCGCCAGTGAACACGGTTGTCATAAGCAATATAAGCTTATTGTCTTTCCAGGCGATATGGTTGACCTAGGGATATAGAATGACGACAGATTAGTAGGGATTTTCGAAGTAAAGTGTCAGAAATTGATACCTTATTGTCAGGGGTCGGTATCGCCTTGACCTTGTTAAATTCGTAGCTTCTCTTGACCTTGTCGCCATTGCCCTTATCCTCTGCCAATTCCTTGTAGATGCCGCTGTTCTTGCGGGCCGTGCCTGTGGCTCCGTGGCCGTGATTTCGAAGACTGCGAAGGAGACCTGATGATGAGAAGAGGTTATCGATGAAGATATGATATGTCGCTTTTGGCAGCAGATTTGCTAGAGCAATGACGACGGCTTGGGTCGTGTTCGAGGCAATGGGCTTCTCTTCCCTGGCTAGCTCTTTCCCTGCGGCCTTGGAAGCGCTCCGGCCCTGAGAACGTTTGGATGACTTCTTCTGTGGAAGTTCGATGCCAACGGGGCCATAAGTCGCATCTCTGATGTGCCAAAGCCACCGAAGAAAGAACCCCTGTTGGGCGATAACCCAGATCTTGAATCCCACTGGTTCTGGCTTGCCCTTGGCCGTTGTTTTGGCACCACATTTCCCCGTATAACCAACTATGCACTCATCCAAGGCAAAGTGAGATCCAGCAGTTAAAAGCTCGGATGAGACTGCTTGTATGTGGTTAGACCACTCTTCAACGCCTTGGAACACCTCTGGTAGGTGTTCCTCACCGGTCTCATCGATCTTGGTGTGGTCAAAAGGGCGGAGATGACGGTTGATGAGCTGAAACTTCCAGTAGGGCATGAACTTGATAAATGAGTGTTCTGCGCTTTGTGAACCGGGCTAAGGAGAACTCCAATAGGTCTTCGTCTTTTCTATATGTATTCCCATATAAATCAGTATTGCAATAAACAGGTAGATCTCTGAGGCACAGGTTCCTTCCCAAGTTCGGAGACATGATGTTCGACCCATCGGCTTTTTCCAGCTATCTACCCACTCGTTGGCTTTGAGCCACGAGATCTAGATCTTGGTATAATGTGCCCATTTCTCAACAAGGGAAATAGGTAGGAAAAGCTGGAATAGCTCGAGAGGCGTTGGAGGCAGCGTAGCAATGTGAAATTCGCGCCTAGGTACGTTGAAAGGTTCAAATTGCGTGCCTCGGTCTTGGGTAGCCGGGAAAACAACTACGCAGGTGGGGTCATTTGGCCACAGCCGATGGCTGTGCTTTGCCTTAACAAAGCTCTTGTCATCATAGGCATTGAGAGCCTGCACATCCTCGGGAATCAATTGAGCACTCATTGATGAGATTGAAATGCTTTAGGGGCCTTCCAGTGGTGTTTTGGGGGGTTGAAATGACGGATCAAACTTCCGGTACCCCGCTCGTACTCTCGTCATCGCAGGGGTCATGTGGGGCTAGGTACGGAGGTGTTGTCTTGTGAGCACTCGTGGGATAGGGCTTACAGCGCTAGACTATTGCTCGCATCTCCCAGAAGCCCCACATTCTCCCTCATCCGCTCATTGGCGTTTCGCCTTACTTGACTCTGCATGATAGGCCTGCTTGAAGGCCAGTACCTCCAAGTATTCAGCATCCCATCTTCAGCAGCTGAAGCGTGGTTTGACAGCTCGAGACTGCTTCTTGTTAGTGTCGCCAGCTTTGGCTCGTCTGAAGCGCAGGGTAAAGCCACAGAAACAAACGATGACGAAGGACGAAGGATTTTACGCCAATCAGAAAGCGCAAAGGGCGACACCAATCAGAGCGAAGCTTTAAGTTCGGGGGCAACAGCATAAGACCTTTCGTTCCTCAAGGCATAGACCTCGTTCCTCAAGGCACATGCAACCATAATGATGTCGGCACTGGGCGGTGGACGAGATGGATGCCATAAAAGCGTCATCGAGTCAGCGGGTGGACAATTGGGATGCCGGCTAGCCATGGTAGGGGCTCGGCAAGGATCCAATGCGCTGTCCGAGTGGACAGTCCGAGAAGCCTCAGTGGTCCACCGGGCACCGCCACGCTTGGCAGATGCACGATGGGGGAGGACGGGTCAAGGGGGACGGCCGTCGGAAAATAGAGACCGCATAAACGTGGAGCCGGTTTCATTTCCTACGAATTGGCTGCTCGCTAGACTTTGCTAAATCTGGACTAACTGTGGCTGGGAATAGTAAAAGTAAAAGTGGCTGGATCAAAGTCGTTGTTGGCCATGACAGTGTTTTAGAGCGTCAGCCATAAGGCATCAACACATGCCTATGGCTTATTGTTAAGAGTCCACTTCGGAGGATCGGCTCCTCTGCTACTCCCTGACTCTTTTCAGAGCCATGTAAACAAGCCAACGAGCGTGAGCTTTCCAGTTCCAGACGCGCTGTACAAAACGAGTTGTTCATGCCAATCATCCAAGGGCGACCTTCCAAAGTATATCACTCGCGGTGCTCGTGATCCCCCCCAGCAGCGGTAGCATCGATACCCAGCGACCGCTCGTTAGGTAGTACAATGGCGCGATCTAATGCGTAGGGTAGCCCGCGATGACGTCCACGGAGCATCATCGCACAGACGACGAGCTTGCTGAAGGTGGAGAATTGGCTACTGAAAGATGTTGAGACCGTTGGATAACCCAGACTCAGGCCGACGTTGCCACTACAAGGCGGTTAGCTTCGATCTCATCAAGACGATGGCGTACTTACTATGCCGAAACAACCTCGAACAAAACAGGCCAAACATTGAATGCCTGAGCCAAGTCAGTGAAGAACGAAGAATGGCGGGAAGTTGTACTGACCGGATCATTCGCATCCATAATGCGGTTCGACTCCGCTATGCAAATGCAAAAGATTCCAAGACAAATGTACCATAGATCGAAACTAAGCTGGTTCCGCAGATGTGTCACAAAGTACGAACCGCCCTTCTCTTCGGTAGGCTGCCGATCCGCCTCGTAAAGCCCCAGGGAACGTTCCTCGTATGTATTTGAGGATCGAATGGCGATGGCGATGGGGTAGACAGAGATATACATCATGACCAGCAAGCTCATCTGCACGGCGGGGTTAACATCCGCCAGGTTGAAACTCGTAGTACCAGTGTGTCGAGAGCTGGCGGACTGGAAGATGGCGGCAGCAACACGCTTTCCGACGGGGAGACTTGCGACGGCGTCGTTGTCGAGATCGAGTAAGATGATGAGAAGAATGTCGATGATGTTGAGGGTGAGCAGGATCCCGAATAGCGCCCATGTCGGTCCGCTAGGGAATAGCAGCGTGTAACAGCGTCGAGGGTGGTTGAGGAGGAAAGAAAGCGGTTCTCGGATCGATGGCTGGCGAGGTGCGAGCTTTGAAATGGTCCAGAGGACCAGGCGGAGGACGATTGGGTAACAGGTGTGCCCGGCGAGGGTAAGGAAGCTCATGATCAGCATGGGGGCTGGAACATCGTTGAACGAGATCATCGAGTCAGGGGTGAGAGTGAAGCCAAGGTTGTCTGTCATGGTTTGAGCTGAGTAGATGGCCCTAGTGCATGGTGAGAGGCGGTCAATAACGTCCAATGAGGGATCGAGGTTTACCACCAGATTTTGTCCTGCCCGCATTCTGCAATGTAATTGGTGTACTTGGGATTGGCGTATTGAATCCAGGTAATGAGGCAGATTACGCCAATCAAGTGAAGGCCGAAGAAGTATACTAGAGTCGTCAGGAACGTTGCTGCGTCCCGTCGTTTTTCAACTCACTAAGAACGATCTTGAGCAGCAGCTTCAAGCTCTGATACTCGATACCGCCCAGCTCCTCGCGATCTTTGGACGACAAGTTGTGGAAAAGCGAATTCCGCCCAATAGTAACCTCTCGGGACAACTGTGGAAAGTCGCCGGCGGCAATGGTCGACGTCCTTGTAAGAGAGCGCTCTTTCTGAGGCTCTCTGGTACTGCCGATAACGAACATGGACGAGGCGACAGTGACGACGCGCTCCATCGAGCGGGTTTCGGCAAGTCGGGATCCAGATGTCAAGCGACGACGGAGACCAGGCACAGGCGTCGAGTTGACGCGGGCAACCTGCTCGATCTCGAGATCTGGTAAAAGGAGTTAGCATTGAGGCTTGGTAGTCATGGGCACCGAGATGTACCGTCTCGACCTCCGTCCCTGCTAATGCGTCCACCATTGAGCTCGACTAACGGTTTCCCTAACCAACGTCAGTCCTTGAACAAAGACCTGTTACTCATGCCGACTTGCCCTCCTCCCGATCTCGCGGTCCAGGGATGTAAAGTGCCGTGTCACGTTTAGGGTGAAGGTTAGTTGAAGGGTCGAATGTGATCCTCGCGCCCGAGCCAACCTTCTCCAACACCTTTTCTTCCTCGATCGCTGGCTCAGTTTCACTCATCTCACTCTGGGAGAGATGACCATGATCTGGAGCCGGCTCTGTGTGGCTTCTAGCCTCGATCCGTGGTAGTTGCTCCACGGCGACGGCAGCGTTATCTGTCACCGTCCGTGTAGGGACCGGCCGCTGTTCTGGCGTCTCGGTTGGCAGGATCTTGGAGCCAAGCTCAAGATCGTCTTTTGATTCATGGTTGAGGCGTCGGTTTCGCTGGAGGAGAATGGGCGCTTTGCATTTGACTGTCAGTCCAACAGTCCGGACTAAAGGAAGCAGAACATGGGACGAACCAGCGTTCTTCAGTTTTCTCCGAAACCAGAATAGACGTACGACGACAACGATGATGGTAACGAAGCCGAGGTTCGTGAACATGGGCACAAAGTACAAGTACAACTGCTGGTAGGTCTTGAGTTCCTTGAGATCGACTCTGCAGGAGTAGTCGACGGTTATCTCCTTTGCATTGCAGCCTTCCAGAGAACGGAGTCGGACTCACGTGTTGAGGCCAGACCCCGTGGAGGAGCTGGCCCCGAAGAAGTAGGCGTCGATTGCGCTGATGTTTCCATACGGGTACAGAATGGCAAAGCTCAGCAGACCCATGAACGTGATGTAGACGTCTGCGCGCGAAGGAGAGATCTCAGCCACATCGCCCTGAAGGATCGCGGCTCGGCGCTCGGCACTTACAGTGTAAGCTCACGAAATTGAGCTTCTGGCGCCACATGCCCAGCATGTAGATGCCCTTGAAGGAACGTTTTTGCAGGGGGTTGAGGTACCGCGACTGTGAGTTTTGAGGGACTTCTGAGGTGGAAAGGGGCGTTCGTGCCGTGTTCCGAGTAGTCTGAGACGTAATTTTTAAAAGGAGAGGAGAAGAGCGGGCAATGATGAGTGAACTATTGCCAAGCCTGGAGCTACATGAACACCAAAACCCGGCCATCTAACGCATCAATTGTACTTGATCACCACCGTCAATAGGCTAGGGGACAGGCCATTGTCACTGCAATGTGAGGAACAACACCAGAGGGAACGGGGCTTAGACCTCGTTGGATCGGGATTTGAGGGCACGGCCAATACGAAGCGCAAGGGCTCGGTCCCCTGTCCTGGAAATGGCGTATGGGGAGGCGTCACTGACAGGTCATTTCAAAGGAGATGAGATGAATGATTTGACGGAGATCGACGAGGCCACTCCGCCTTGGGCGGTGGCTGTGCTGGAGGTTGAGGATCACCTGGTTATGTTATAGTATCTATCACATGTCGGAGCTGATTGAGGATAGCCTGGAGATGCGGGATAAATATTAGGTCGAGCAGCCTGTCACCAACCACTGGCAACCCCGCCCCTGCTGTGAACTTGCCCCCGTGTCAAGTTTCACCACTAACGTTACTACATAATACATAATACGCCATGGCCCTATCTCCTGAGAGCGCAAGGACCTCCAAGCCGGTCACGATGAGGGGTCCGAGCCAATTAAAATGCGCAAAATTAAGGGTACATAATTCCTCACCTAAATTATATGATGATAGAAGTCCCAACAATATTGGTTGTTACAAATCGCAACATGGCATAATTTGCAGCTGTACCAAGTCTGCTTGCGAAGCTTCCTCTTGTTGCCGTCAGTCTCCTTCAGGGGGCTTCTTTTCTGACCCTTTGCCCTCATTTGACCCTGCCGAAAGCCCTTACAAGCTATGCAGTCTGATTTTACCTTGCGGTTGACATGATTGATCTGACGATTGACAGGCTTGTCAACAAATAAATGAAATCAAATAAATCCAAATCAAATCAAATCAAATCAAATTGCGGGAGCCGAATTTAGTTGGATATCTGGATTCATTTGGATAGAAGCACTGGCCAATCATTGCTGGTACTGTAACCCCAGGTTGATCCACTCCCGACCAACGCGTACCCTAAAGTTATTCAGCGCTCCGAACAATTCAATTCCACTCAACTCTCTCCTGTAAAAACTTTTTCTTGGCACCCGCTGTTAGCGCGCTGCTAGGGCAGAAAGCTTTTGCAGGCCAAAATGGCAGCAAAGACAGCTGTGGGGCTAGCGGGGCCTTAACAGCTGCCGGAAGAAAGGGATTCAGAGTTAACCTTTCTTTATGATGCGTGTCTCTAACGATACTGAGCTTTGCGAGCTCTTGACATCGCCTTCGGGCGCTACTTCTTACGTGTTATTTGCTGCTTCTTCTAACCCCGACATTCCGGCTTCGCCAGCCTGCAATAATCCGGGCTCTGGGCCCCTCGACTTCCCGTATGACTGACTTCTGCAGCCCTGGCTGCCCAGACTACATTCGCGGTATCTTGCCGCTCGACATTAAGGGTCGTCACACCCTCACCCTCACACTCACCTGCAGCTTTGCGCTGCCTCAACCGACCTCTGCAGCTTTACTGCCTGAATAACACCAGCAGCCGCTAGCTGCTCGACTTCTTAGGCCCTCTGGTACCCCCTTATCTCGATGCATAGGCCCCAAATGGCTTGCTGCCCTTTTTGCAGCTCGGAAGCTATATGACCGATCTCTGTAGTCGTATATTGCCTAGAGAACCTCTTCTTTTTTACAGCCTCGGCTGCCGCCTAGAACACGACCGGGCTTTAATAATTTATCTTACTAGCTGAGATTACTAGATAAAACCGCTGGGTTAAAATAGTATAGAGCTTACCTGGAGACCGTAGAATGAGGCGACTACCTTGTCTATAGAGTAGCGTTCTAGCCGCCTTGGGGTTTTCTCCTATAAGGGTTTTCCCTAAGGATATACAGTTCTAGGGTTATAGCTACTAGCGATCTTAGGGGATTATGGACTTCCTGCCTTAGGGTATAGAAAGCTACTTGATCTATCTATATAAGAGAATTCTAGGCTAGGGAGGAATAGTTCCTGCTAACGGGATAACCTCTTGAAAGTAAAGCGCCTTTGTGCCGATGATATGCTGGATAAACTAGATAGAAGCGTTACTGGAGGGAAGCTCTGCTGAGATCAACTGTATTGATATCTATAGGACGTGCTTCACCAATAACTACTGTAGAGCTGGCTACGAGTAGAGAGGTGCCTCTTGGAGGTAATGAATATAGAAAACGCTCGAGCATGTATACGGCTCCGATCCAAGAGGCCTTGCAGATGATCCGAGCGAGAATCAGCACGGCAGCGATTGTAGATAGTTTAGCTCAGCACGTCCTGTGCTCCAGTAGGAGACTTTTCGGGGCCAATGGCCCCCCGGACGAAAAATATACATAAACATACATACATAAGTACCCACTAAGATCTGGCAAGCACTTTTGTTCCAGTCAAAGGCAGATATGGCAAGGCTCCAACGTCTTGAGAAATATCTTACGGGTCGCAAATGGATGCCGAGCAGGCCATCTGTATTTCGTTCTTTTGGTGACAGCATGTCCTTTCCTGTACGATATTTCCAACACTCGCCAATGCTTCAGAGTAGGAAGATTACGATCGAGGAGAGGGCTAAATTGGATAAACAAGCCAAGATCAGTGAGTTCTATCAACTCAAAGATAAATACAACGAGTTAATGCAACAGTATAACGCCAAGACATGCGAACAAATTTATCAAACTTCACTGGGCGTCAGGTATCTCACGCATGATCCCTACTGCCATCGTTGTTCTTTGATGAGTCAAGCGAACAGCCTGCATATAATGGTCCACGAGTGGCAGTTACCCACCGATAATCTCGAAGCTCAGGCTACAGTCTTTGAACTCGGGATCCCTCACCAATTCGCAGAGTGGCGGGATGTCACGTTTTATTTCATCCATGATGTGCTTTCTTTCAAGTCTTTTGGAGAATGCCCTGATTCATCTTATCCCTTGGACTCGTACAGCGGTCTCTCTCCCTGGTACACCTCTGAACCGAGTCGAGTGCATCTTCTATCAGAAGCAAAACCTCATCTTCAGACTCACCGACGTCAAAAGTCCATCGCGGTCAGCGATGTGGCCGATGTCTATCTAGAAAATGGACTCGTGTATCATTATTTCGATCGTGCCAGTGGCAGCTTCATTTCCCCATTTAACGTCCGTCACCCACAGACCGGCCACCCCCACAGACAGGCCACCTCATTTCTTACCCAGCCACCCAATTTATACACACTTTAAACAGTCACAACTCTACGAATTTAATTCCAATTGATTTCAAACCAACGCCAATCAATTCAGAATGCCTTCTTTTACTGAAAAAGATATAAGCGCCGCGCTTCAGATGGTTGCAGATGGAGTTTCAGTGAACAAAGCAGCCGAAGCTTGTGGCATCAACCGTTCCACTCTACAAGGTCGGGTCAAAGGAAGCACAACACCAAGAGAAGCCCAAAAATCACGGCAAAAGCTCTCTGATGTTCAGGAAAAGCGTCTGCGAGACTGGATTATCGTCCAGGCTGATCTAGGATGCCCTGTATCGCACCAGCAAGTCAGAGAGTTCGCCAGCAAGATTGCCGTCCGCAACGGCTTCCCAGAAGGCGTCGGAAAAAACTGGTTACAGGGCTTTTTAAGTCGAAATACTGATATCAGGACTTTAAAAGGCAAGAAAATTGATTCTGAGCGATATAATGGAGCATCTTCTGAACTGATAAAGGCCTTTTTTATGCTGCTGATGATGCCGGCGATACGAATAATCAAGCAGAAGAACAGATACAACGTCGACGAAGTTGGAATGATGGAAGGAATAGGAATGAACGGTCTATTCCTCGGTCACAAGGACAAGAAGTCAGTACTTATTCGTCAACCTGGTTCCAGGTCTTGGATTACAATACTCGAGTGTATCTCAGCAACCGGGAAAGTCCTGAGACCTGCAGTTATCTTCAAGGGGAAAACAGTTCAACAACAACATTTCCCTGAAGATTTGGACTTCCTAGATGGCTGGGAGTTCAGCTGTAGTGAAAACGGTTGGACAAGCAATAAATTGGCGTTGGTTTGGTTGAGAAAAGTCTTCATTCCATCGACAAAGCCCGAGAATAAGAACGAACCCCGACTTCTTATTCTTGACGGTCATGGAAGTCATATGACTGAGGAATTCCTTTGGGAATGCTATAATAACAATATATATCTGTTATTTCTTCCTGCTCACGCTTCCCATGTCCTACAGCCACTGGATGTTGCTGTATTTGGACCGCTGAAGAGAGCATATCGTCGACTTCTTTCAGATCTCTCTTCTATCGCTGATAGCAGCCATATCGGCAACATTACATTTCTATATACTTATGACAAAGCTCGGAAAGAAGCTATCACGAAGTCCAACGCCCTCGCCGGCTTTAAAGCCACTGGACTGTGGCCTGTCAATCTGGCGAAGGTCCTGATGAACCCAATGGTCACTGAGACACCTTCTCCCGCTGTCACAGCGAATTCGCCCGCCAAAGAGCAGGATTCCAGTCTCCTGAAAACTCCCCGGTCGTCTGTACAGCTTCGGCGAGCTCTGGAGGCTGTCCCAGCGACTGCTACTCAAGATCCGACCGTCAGGCTGCTGTTCAGGAAGATTGGAAGTCGATTGGACAGTCAGAACTTCGAAATGGAAAAGCAGAATAGAGAAATATGTGTTCTACAGCGCGAAAGAGAAGAATATCTCCCGAAAAGGCGTAAAAAGGTTGTCTATAACCCAAATGCCGAGTTCGCAAAGATTCCAGCGATAAAGAAGGCTCGTGAACAGATGTGGAGGACTTTGCAACCAGAAAGAACGGCAAATAGGGTCAAGAAATTAAAACTTGAGGATCTTTGTACTCAGTTTCATTTAAATATTCACTGACCAAATTTTCATTTAATATAAAAAATGTGGTGTTGAGATAATTAATTAATTGATTACGATATCTAGTTCTTGGTGTTTTGGCCGAGGTGGCCACTCTGTGGGGGTGGCCGGTCTGTGGGTGACGGACGTTAGCATGAAAAGTTGATGTTGAGGCCAGCAATAGGCTGTTAATTTTATAACGCGTCGAAATAGACTTCAACTTAAGGAACTTACCGACTCGCTCCCCCAACGCATCGGAAGCTCCGGATGGGATCTCATGTTTCTAATTGTTGCTATTAAGAATTGATTTCAAGCAGGATTGCATCCTTGCGCCCGGGTTGAAGTTTGGTCGAGGTTTTCGACGAGAAGCGTGTTGATAGCGTTGAGAATTCATGGCCCATGCCATTAGGGAAAACCCGACTAGACTTGGAAAGCAGAAAGTTGACAAAAACTATCCACTGTGCCTCAAATCCCTTTATCAGATCTTGTAATATCATAAAAGTCATTTCCCCCTCCATTTCTGCCTTCGTTGTAGTTTCACAACTCTTTCAAGTTGTCAACCTCGCCCTCGCTCTGCCGTCTGCTGACCAATCAGAATTTCGTGGTCAAAGTACCCAGTGTCCGTGTCGCAGACTAGGCATGATCTCAATGAGCCTCAGGAAACAGCACTTAGGAATCAGGCTGTGTGCTTCAGGTAAAAGCTGTGGGCTGGAGTACCCCGCACCTTAGACAACAATCAATCAACACACTGCTACTGCTAATGTTACAAGTACGCTTATTGCGACACTCCGTAATGATATACTACGTAGTAATTGGGCAATGAGGCGCTTTTCATTTGGCGTGCTTTCAACAGCGAAAACGCCCCTTAATGATCATTCGCCTGCTCGGCTACCTTCGGCGAGGTAGTACCTGCATGAGTGCTGTGATCATAACAGATAAGCTGACTTTGAGCAGGTCTGCTACTCTTATCTGTTATAGGTGGTTTACCTTGCGTAAGCCCCTTCGCTTGACAGGCGAATAGGAGGGTGGGAGGCTTGTTCATTTATCTCATTGATGAGGGAAACGTTTGTCTGATCTCCACAAGGCAAGCTTCTTGAGCTTCAGAGAAACTTTAAAGGGATTCCCATTGGCCCCCGCCGGTAAACGCCGATCAAGTCCTGGTCAAGCGGGCTCACCTGGGAAAACCCGTCTGCTCTTGTTTTTGGTCAAGAATGAATGGCGTTGACTAAATCCCCTGTGGCTTAGCCCGGTGACGATGGCTTGCCTGGATTGTCTTGGATGCTCGTTAGAATCGGCAATACCGACCAATGACACCCCTTCAGCATCATTTAGACAAATTTACGCCTCCAGGGGGGTTATCCAGCTAGCTAAGAACCTTGAAACTAATCTGTCTCGGCGACTCCAACGTGCGGGCGCAATTTGAATGCTGCAATGGTGGAACGAGGGAAACTCCTTACAAGACTGTCATTTTCTTATAATACTGAAGCTGGGGGTGCACACACATCTGCGTTGTATTTCCTCGTCTCACAAACGTGAATTTCTTTTCAATTTTTTTTATTTAAATTTTTTTTCGTATTCCTTGTTTATTTCTCTCTCATTTTTCTTGTCGTATCATGAACAGCCTGAATGGCCCTGTCCAGGTCCTACGGTAGCCAAGATGGTCGGCGAAACAGGTCCCATCACGGCGTCTTTGGCGATCAACATGACCATCGCCGGCTTTTTTGCGGTTGCGTGCTACAATTGCGTCGAAATCCTCGTCTCGCTTCTCGATCGCTTCAAGCGACACGACAGCCTGTATTTCTGGAGCATGCTGGCGGCAACGTTGGGTATCGTGCTTCACTCGATAGTGGTATTACTTCGCTACTATAGCTTAGGGCCCAACTTCCCACTGGCTGTCTTGACATGTGTCGGATGGTATGCTATGGTGACTGGCCAGTCTGTCGTTCTCTACTCCCGCCTGCATCTTATCATCGCAAATAGAGCAAAGACCCGCTGGATCCTGGTTATGATTGTCACGAATTTTTGCATCCTTCACATTCCGGTTACAGTTCTGTTCCTCGGCAGCAATACACGAAATTCCGACCGGTTTCTTCCCGCGTTCGAGATCTATGAGCGGATACAACTCGCTGGATTCTCTATACAAGAGTCCGTCATCTCTGGTCTTTACATCTGGGAAGCGGCCCACGGACTCCAGCCCATCTTCGCGATCAGAAGGGCCACGGAGCGCAAGGTGATCAGACACCTCATAATGGTCAACATCTTGGTTGTGCTGCTCGACATAAGCCTTCTTCTTACTCAATATCTGGACCACTTCCAGATCCAAACGACATACAAGCCGGTGGTTTACAGCATCAAGCTGAAGATGGAATTCGTTGTTCTCAACAGGCTGCTGCTCCTCGTTCGGCACAGGGAGTGCAACTGTATGCTGGTTGTGGACGAGCCTGAAGGTAGTGTTCCTCGGTCGTTCGGTAACCCCGAATGTCTTTCATTCGGACGAGGTCCACGTTCTAGGAGATCCAATGACGATGGGATTCAACTACATTACGTCCCACCCACCAATGCATCATCACGTCTAGGCGATTAAGGTCATCCAACGGCATCCCCATTCACCTTCTCGATATAAGTCGTGGCCGCGGCACATGGCATTACGGGAAGCCTAACAACAATTCAGCAACGACTTTGCCTAGCGAACCACCATTCAAAAATCATCTGGGGGGCCAAATGATTTGCACCAGTACAGTAAAGTGCCCCAATATAGTATGCATCGAAATATAACATTTAGGTGATATTATATACCAAGTATGAATTGATTCCAAGCCAGACTACGCCGCTGCGATAGGTTTGAAGTTTGGATGATTATTTTTGAGGTGGTGAAAAGCGACCGGGGTGCAGCCAAAATGAGGAGCGGCGATCGGTGAGCATTGGGTGGCCAGCGTTAGCCCGTGCATTTTGGTACACACAGGTCCAGGCAGTCGCCCAGATGGTTATGCCACAGTCCCAGGGTTATTAGCGGATGGGGTAAGGGTTATCTCTTTGGGTGGCACAAGGCATCAACAGGTCACTCGCCCCACTTAGCTGACTAACCACGCTAGTACCTGCAGGGTACGTGAAGTTCTCGTCAGACAGCTGCGAGAGACAAGCTACAACGCTGACAGACAATGTTTACAATGTTTACAATGTTTACAATCTTTGTTAACGTTGTGGAGGCAGCCGTTTGGAAAGTCAAGCGGGGCGCGACGCGACGCAAAACGGCGCGATGGACGCGGTTGCGGACAGCATCGTTGTGACCTCTGAGGACGCCTGCCCTCGGGATTCTAGCATGCGCAAATCAGACCGGCCACGAAAGCTAACAGCGAAAGGAATGGAGAACTTGTCCGGTAATGTTGGGATAGTAATGCAAGCCCTGATCCGCGAAGTACGCGACGAAACAATGAAACAGATGGCGAAGGCGCAGCAGGAAACCGTGAAGGAAATCACGACTTCTCACGAGAGAATCATTGAGACTCTGTGGAATGCCTGGAAAAAAGAGCAGCAGGCGCTCAAGCAAATGATCGAAGGCCAGGAGAAAGCGATTAGGCAGCTGCAACAGGATATTCAAGGCATTCAGGCGCAAGCCGCACAGGAACGAAAGCTGATGCAGGAACAGATTGACGAGCTCAAACGAATGCAGCAGCACGCCCCACGCGATATCGAGCCCCTGCAAGTGCAGGCTGCCGAAGAGATCAAACGCATCCATGAGAAATTAGACATCATGGCGCAGCACGCCGTAGCCGGCTTCGCCCGGACGAACCCCAGGCAGTCATTTGCAGACGTAGCTCGTATGTCGCCAACGGAGGGGCAGAATGGCGGTGTTAGAGACCCCAAGGTGGTGTCATCACCCACGCCGCCGCTTTCATCCCCTGGAGAGGACCTGTTCTGCACGATAGACATCTCCGGAGTGGGCGACGATGACAGAAACAAGGCGCAGATCGGAGAGGTCCGACAGGCTATCGGAGCCGCTGTGAGGACAAAAAAGGAGGGCGAGAGATGGAGATGCGCAGCGGTGGTTAGAGGGGCTAGGAACGCCAACATCATCAAGGTAATTTGTAGAGATGTGGCGGAACTTCACATGGTTCGACAAGCAGTGTTGGAAACAGATATACCGGGGGCAAAGCTCCTGAGAGAGCAGCTGTACCCGGTCAAGATCAATGGGGCTAACCGGTCGGCGGTCCTGGACTCGAACCACAACCTTCTTCCCGGCGTTGCTGAAGTACTCGGCCAAGAGAACGAAGTGACGATTGCTAGGATGAACTGGCTTAGCGATAAGGGAAACGGCAAGGCATACGGGTCGATGGTGATCTACGTGACGAAAGAAAGCGATGCAAGACGGCTCTTGAAAGACAAATACTTTCACCTCGCAGGCGAATCGGCGAGAACTAGCATCTTCGAGCCTAGAGCCGAGGTGGTGCAATGCTACAATTGCTGGGGGCTAGGCCACAAGGCATTCGTCTGCAAAGAAGCGCAGAGATGCGGCAGATGTGCGGAGCGAGGACATCACCATGGACAATGCGAATCAGCAGAGCCAGTGTGCGTGTCATGCGGAGGACGGCACGAATCATTCCGTCGAGCATGTCGATTGCGTCAAATGCGAGGAGATGAGCACTAGGCTACAAGTGTACCAACTGAACGTGCGTAAGAACGATAAGGTGCGTCTGAGCATGATGAATGACAAAGAACTTGAGGACTATGTAGCGCTGGCGGTGGCAGAGCCATGGGCATGCACAATCGAGGGACAGGTGATGACGGTGCCTAATCACCACAGCAACTGGACGAAGATGATTCCCACCAAGACGCGTGAGCCGCGTGTGTCGCGATGGCCGATCCGCAGCATGCTCTGGATACGGAGGGACTTGGAGGCAGAGCAGGTCCCGATACCGTCACCAGACCTGACGGCAGCGATCGTCAGGTTCCCTGAGCGTGACGTGCTGGTTGTGTCGGTATATGTAGAGGGGAGGAACGAGCAGGCTCTCGAAGCGGCGATGGGACAGCTGCACACGGCGATTGTGGAGTTCCGCAATGGGTCCGGCAGAAGAACTGACGTGATCTTGGTAGGGGATTTCAATCGTCACGACACACTATGGGGAGGTGATGAGGTAACGGGAAGGAGGCAAGGCGAAGCTGGACCGGTCATAGAGCTGATGGGAGAACATGGCCTTCACAGCCTGCTGCCCCAAGGCACGAAGACGTGGGAAGGCCCAGGGGGTATAGCGAGCACGATTGACCTGGTGCTGGCATCAACGGAGCTGGCAGACGAGATGACGAGCTGTGGGATACATCCAACAGAGCATGGATCGGACCATCGGGCGATCCGAACGGAGTTTGACACAACACCGCCGGAACGAACGCCCAGCGACAGACTGCTATTCAAAAATGCACCTTGGTTAGAGATCAAGGAGAGGGTGAGGACGAAACTGGAAGCGTTGCCGTGTGGCGGCACAGTGCAGGGTCAGACGGACAGGCTGATGTCGGTGGTGCTGGACGCGATCAACGACCTGGTCCCACGAGCCAAGCCGTCGCCTTATGCCAAGAGGTGGTGGACGACGGACCTGACCCGACTGCGGCGGATGTACACATACTGGCGCAACCGGGCAAGGGCATGCCGGCGACGAGGACGAGAGGCAGCAGACCTAGAGCAAAAGGCCAGAGAAGCGGCAAAGGAGTACCACGACGCGATCAGGAGGCAGAAAAAGGCACACTGGGACAGCTTTCTCGAAGACGGAGCCAACATCTGGCAATCAGCCAAGTACCTCTCGCCTGGAGGCGAAGCAATGGGTGATAAGATACCTCCTCTAAAGAGAAGAGATGGAACGACGACGAGCGACAAGGCAGAACAGGCAGAGGAGCTTCTCAGCGTCTTCTTCCCCCCTCTGCCGGCTGTGATTGAGGATGAAGAGCGCCGGCCGGCGCAGCGAGAAATAGCAATGCCAGAGGTGACACTAGAAGAGGTGGAAGAGAAGGTGATGGCGGCCAAGGCATGGAAAGCCCCAGGCGAAGATGGACTGCCGGCGATGGTGTGGAAGCAGCTCTGGCCAGTAGTGGGAGACCGGGTGTTGCATCTGTTTCGGACATCCCTGAGAGACGGAGAGTTGCCGGTCCAGTGGAGGAGCGCGAAAATCATCCCGCTCAAGAAGCCAGGCAAGGACGACTACAAGGTGGCCAAGTCCTGGAGACCGATCTCACTTCTATCGACGCTGGGAAAGATATTGGAAGCGGTCATGGCGGACCGGATCTCGTACGCGGTAGAGACATTCGGACTGCTACCCACCAACCATTTCGGCGGAAGGAAGCAACGATCGGCCGAGCAGGCACTCCTGCTCCTTCAGGAGCACATCTACAAAGCGTGGCGGAACCGGAAGGTGCTCAGCCTGATAAGCTTGACGTGAAGAGAGCTTACAACGGGGTGTTCAAGGATCGACTACTGCAGAGACTGGAAGCCAGAGGCATCCCCAAGGGATTGGTGAAGTGGATCGACGCTTTCTGCTCCAATCGGTCCGCGACGATCGTGGTAAACGGCTACACCTCTGAGCGACGGGACCTGCCACAGGCTGGACTTCCGCAAGGGTCGCCCCTATCACCGGTGCTGTTCCTTTTCTTCAGCGCAGACCTCGTGCAGCGCAAGATCGATGCAAAGGGTGGATCAATCGCGTTCATCGATGACTACTCGGCCTGGGTGACGGGTCCGACAGCAGAAGCCAACCGAGTAGGCATCCAGGCCGTCATCGACAGAGCACTGGAATGGGAGAGACGAAGCGGGGCGACATTTGAGGAGGACAAGACGGTCATCATACACTTCACGCGCCATCCCGAACGCACCGATGAAAGGCCGTATACGATCAAAGGCCAGGCGATTACTCCCAAGAACAGTGGCAAGATACTGGGACTGGTGATGGACTCGGAGTTGCGGTACGAGGAACACATAAAGGAAGCAGCTACACGGGGACTTCGGGCGGCCATGTGTATACGAAGGCTGAAGATGTTGACGCCCCGGACGGCGAGACAGTTGTTTGTAGCAACGGTGGCCCCGACGATGGACTACGCTTCGAACGTGTCGTCTCACAGACGCGGGTGGAAGGAGACCAGATGGCTGAACGAAGCGCAGAAGATGGGTGCGCAAGCCATCACAGGAGCCTTCAAGACGGTTTCGATGGCGGTGGCGGAAGCGGAAGCTGGCATTCTACCCATCGGTGAACGCCACGCGCAGGCGGGCACGCGGCTCTACGTCAACATGCAAGCGCTGCCGAAGACGCACCCGCTTGCGACACTTAGGGTGAGAGAGACACGGAGATATCTGTCGCTGTTGGCGAAACTAGCACTCGCCCACGATGGCGCAATAGAACGGATGGAAACGATCGAGCCGTATGCACTACCACCGTGGCATAGACACATGGTGGTGGAGTACGATTCAGACAAGGAGGCAGCGGTGGATGTAGATATAGGTGACGACGTGACCGAGACCAGCAACATGAGACAAGTGCTCATCGCAACGAGCGCCTCGGCGAGAAACGGACTAGTCGGCATGGGCGGCGTCGTGCGCAACACCGCTGG